CAAAATTAACTCAACAGGCCCATTAAGTAGCTGTCGTCAAAGGCAGTGTGGATTTCTAAGCACAAAACAAGTACCACTTCGGAACGAATCCAGTTAATTGGAATTCAACTGTATTAAGTACCTGAAGATCAAGTAGAATATTCCCAACTAGATGGGATCAAAATCTCTGTCCATAGGAATCACACACGAAGCAATGCTCGAAGACAGTGTAAGGTGAGAAACAAAATCGCAGTCATAAGAAACACATTATCAATATGATCACACAACCACGAAAAGAAGCATTGAAATTAGAGAGTAAAGAGGTGGAAAGTAGAATAACAAGTTTCACGTCACCATATGATATACAAATGTGAAAACAGTGATATATATTCTAGGAGAAAAGAGGAAAATAATTACGAAGTTACTTGAAACATCGAAATGAATCTGAATATTGCAATTAAGTCGTTCGTAGAACATTTTCCGAACATATTTTCCATTGCACTCTGTCCAATCCCTTCGATATACAATTAAATATAATGAAATCGATTTTATCATTACAACAACGGATTTGATGACGCCATTACTGGAGATGGTGTGGAAAGAGGGCAAAGTACCTGAGGATTGGAAGAAAGGATACTTATTCAAACTACCAAAGAAAGGAGACTTTAGTCAATGCAAAAACTGGCGCGGAATTATGCTCCTGTCTATCCCAAGGAAAATACTAAGCCTCATCATCCTGGAGAGAATCATACACACCTAACTGGATGAAAAACTTCGACCGGAACAAGCTGGATTCAGGAGAAACGAGTCATGTATTGATCAAATCGCCACACTAAGGATCATCACTGAACAGAACTTGGGATGGCAGTCACCTCTCCACCTCACTCAACTTCATCGAATTTGAAAAGGCCTTCGATAGTGCAGAGTCAATCGAGAGGTGATTTGGCAACTACATCGCTACTACGGGGTGCCATCGACAATTATACATCTCATCCAATAGTTGTACGACAACGCTGCGTGCCAAGTAATCCACAACGGGAAACTTCCGGAATCCTTCGAAGTGAGGATGGGAGTGAGGCAAGGCTGTCTACTATCGCCAGTGATCTTCCTGATTGCAGTAGACTGGATTATGCGACAGACAGTGGCGGGCAGCGAGGAAACAGGCATGAAATGGACCCTCACGAAAAACTTGGAGGATCTGAAGTTCACCGATGATATTTGTCTGATTTCCCACAAACTGGAAGATATGCAAGTGAAAAGCAACAAGTTGGCAGTAGAAGAAGCATCAAAGATAGGACACCATTCAGGTGAACATAGAGAAAACAGAGGTGATGAAGATTCCTCGGAAACACAAACAACAACAACAACAGACAACAATCAGTATAAATGGGAGAAATATGGAAGAAGAAACCTGCTTTACCCACCTACTCAGGAAGAATCGTTTCAACTACAGGCGGACAGGAATGATTAGGATATGAAAGGAGGATTGGGTAAGCACGGCAAGCTTTCATTTCTCTCAAGTCTGCGTGGAGGTGAACAGCACTCAGCATCAAAAATAACATCCGGATTTTCAACTCCAATGTGAAGTCAGTCAGTGCCACTTACTATACGGATCACAGACTTGGTGTCGCGTCACAAAGGGCACTTCGAACAAACTATAGACCTTCATCAATAGCTGTCTTCGCTCAGTGCTTCACTCGAGATAAGATGGCCGACCAGAAAACATCAGAAACAGGGAGGGATCTCTAAAAGCGAACCAACCACGAACCGATTGTGCCACAAATAGGCAGGAAGAAATGGAGATGGATTGGCCATACTCTGAGAAAACCATCAAGTGACATCACGCGACAGGCCATCGCTCGAGTGGAACCCGAAAGGGAAGCAGCGAGTTGGCCGTCAGTGCGAGGGTGACTTGGAGGTGGTCATGTGAAGAGGAGATGAAAACATGTGGGCAAACATGGAGCCAGGTGGAAACTTTAGCAGAGAACCGAAGGCAATGGAGACGTGCGTCTGAAGCTGTATGTTCCTCTAGGAATTAAAGGAAACAATAATAATGTGTTGTGTTCTATACATTCAGAGATGTAATTCGGATTAAAATGAACAAAAATCTAATTGTATGGAGGATTTAATCATGAGCTGACATCAGTTAGAGAACCACTGGAAAACCTGGGAGTACTGGACAGCTGTTTCGTCCTAGTTTGGGACTCCTCAGCAGTACGCACCCACCGGGGTTCGAACCCAGGACCTTCTGGTTACAAGGCGAGCTCGTAGACCATTGAGCCACTGGGACCCGATCCAAACTAGGACGAAACAGCTGTCCAGTACTCCCAGGTTTTCCAGTGGTTCTCTAACTGATGTCAGCTCATGATTAAATCCTCCATACAATTAGATTTTTGTTCATTTTAATCCGAATTACATCTCTGAATGTATAGAACACAACACATTATTATTGTTTCCTTTAATTCCTAGAGGAACATACAGCTTCAGACGCACGTCTCCATTGCCTTCGGTTCTCTGCTAAAGTTTCCACCTGGCTCCATGTTTGCCCACATGTTTTCATCTCCTCTTCACATGACCACCTCCAAGTCACCCTCGCACTGACGGCCAACTCGCTGCTTCCCTTTCGGGTTCCACTCGAGCGATGGCCTGTCGCGTGATGTCACTTGATGGTTTTCTCAGAGTATGGCCAATCCATCTCCATTTCTTCCTGCCTATTTGTGGCACAATCGGTTCGTGGTTGGTTCGCTTCTAGAGATCCCTCCCTGTTTCTGATGTTTTCTGGTCGGCCATCTTATCTCGAGTGAAGCACTGAGCGAAGACAGCTGTTGATGATAGTCTGTAGTTTGTTCAAAGTGCCCTTTGTGATGCGACACCAAGTCTGTGATCCGTATAGTAAGTGGCACTGACTGACTTCACATTGGAGTTGAAAATCCGGATGTTATTTTTGATGCTGAGTGCTGTTCACCTCCACGCAGACTTGAGAGAAATGAAAGCTTGCCGTGCTTACCCAATCCTCCTTTCATATCCTAATCATTCCTGTCCGCCTGTAGTTGAAACGATTCTTCCTGAGTAGGTGGGTAAAGCAGGTTTCTTCTTCCATATTTCTCCCATTTATACTGATTGTTGTCTGTTGTTGTTGTTGTTTGTGTTTCCGAGGAATCTTCATCACCTCTGTTTTCTCTATGTTCACCTGAATGGTGTCCTATCTTTGATGCTTCTTCTACTGCCAACTTGTTGCTTTTCACTTGCATATCTTCCAGTTTGTGGGAAATCAGACAAATATCATCGGCGAAGTTCAGAACACAACACATGAAGATTAATAATTGAAAGTAAGACATACTGAATGACTCAGATGTATAACGATATGAACCTCTGGCTTACAAACATAGGCATGAAGCATATAAACGCCAGTTAATTAGGGGTGGAAATTACACCGCTTCTGTTACGCTTTTGCTGTTAGTATTGATACACTGTCTTCATATTGTACTTACATTCCCTTTTGCCTTGGCATTTCTAGACAAACACGCCATGATCTAGTTTGTTTTTATAAGGTATATTCTATTTCACATTATCTACATATATCTCAGTATAGATTGTACTGTGAATATTGCTCAGCTTATCATCAGGTCGGTTTTCACAGCTGTTGTCCAGAGTTAAAAGGGGGCGGACAATATTATTCGACTAGAAGTAGTTAAACTTACCTAGCTTCCTTGTATATTCACAACACCACATCTCATTTACGCTCGCGCATACACACACACACACACCTTAGATCAATTAAATATTGTGCACAGTAGGTACTGGTGTACATACTCAGAAAATATCATGAGCACAAAACCCTATGAGTAATAAAATTCAATTGCCCATTTAGAAAATAAAAAGCGGTTATTGATAGGCTGATCATTTTACGATCATGTATGTATTTACACTCATGATCTGCATGTGTATGTGTGTATACGTGTCAATATTTGTTCAACCAGGGGTGTTATGTTTACTGATCCACATGTGGTATTGTAAATTTTGTTATTTTTAAATTGACAGAAATGTGTGTATATATTAGTGTACGTGTACACTACTGATAACTAACTAACTAACTAACCTACTAATTAACTATGAGCTACAATGTAAAGTGCTAGTATTAATCGTTTCTATTCTCTAGCTGATACCCTACTAACACCACAACGACCACCTCCACCCTAGAACCGCAAATCATTTCATCTTCAACCTTTCTCTTTGTCCTTATGTCTTTATGTGCGTCTGTGTATGTACGTATGTGTTGTGCTCCTTATCAGACTTTAATAATCAAATTATTCAATTGTAAGAATATGTGTGTTCCCCCCCCCTCTGTGTCTCTCTACCAGTTAAAAAAGAGTCATATTTTTCAGTTTTAATATCTATTTTTGTTGTTGTCGCTGTTGTAGTCGTTCTGGTCAATATGTCCACAGGTCATGTAATATTGAGGACTAAATACTGAGTGAGTGCGTGTGTACATTTTATGTATTATACGTATTATAAATGTCAGAGGTAGACAAAAAAGACACATGAAGAGAGATGTGAGTATGGAGAGAGGGAGAGGGAGACGCGACGTGTGTAGTGGGGGGGGGGAAGAGGAGAAGGAAACTTTCTCATCGTCTACGTCCACTCACATGCACACAGAGAAAAAAGAATAAATTGTCATACCCCGTACCCCACGACACCACACCACACCCCACCACCATCTTGAAAAAAACTTCCTATCATCATCAACTAAAAACTTTTTTTTCCAATACGATTATGATTACTGTGCTTAGTATTAATAATAATGATAATATTAATAGTGTGTACCACATAATTTCTCAATTGTAACATAATCTACACACACTGAAAGGACGGACAATAAAAGTGGATATAAAACAATCTTGTAGTGATCGTTTTAATAGTAGTATATTACCCTCCTAGTAGTAGTAGTAGTATTAGTATAGAGAATACAGGTGTACTTTCATTGTGAATAAATAAATAGAGCATAAAAAGAAAATTCTATAATGAATATTACATTATTAATGAATGAAACTGAGTCAATTCCTTGTCGATCTGTAAATATGCTCTCTGATAACATGGATGATTATACAAGTCTATGTAATTCACAGTATTCACTCAATCATAACACGAATACAACAACGATCACTTCTGACAGTAACATTTGCAGTACTAATAATAACAGTATCAATAATCATCACACTATTTTGGCTGCAACGCATACAAATAATGTCTGCAATAATGTAAATGAATTGTCAACTACAGATTGTACAACTACAATGGATACTATGAACAATTTGGTAAGTAATCATCTTTCTTCTTTTTTTTTGAAGTTTGTATTCACTGCCCCCTCCTCAGTGCCTTCTGAGTTTGATTTCCCCCTCCCTGAATAATACCTCATAAATCTATGCCCCGTGTTAGGTAACTGCGAAGTATCTGTCTGTCGTAGGCTATTGGATATGGTCCTAATGGGTAAAAATGGTTAGCAGAAGTTCCTGGGTTTTAACCTTAGTAGTCGGTGTATGCATACTGATGAGAAGTGCCAGACTATAATGAAACATCTGTCCAGTACTCTTTGTTGGCTTTCCAATAGTTCTCTAACTGATGTCAACTGGTGACCAAATTTGTTAAAACAACTGTCACCACTATGCACCTGTCTGAATATGTTGGTAGTCTATCTACCGCAATGAATATTAATTTTTTCTGCTTGTTACTATTCGTGAGTATTTGTCGAAAATTTAACAGGATTAAAATTGTTTTCGTTTGTTTTGTTTTTTGTTGTTGCTTCGAAAGTTGGTTTTTTTTTAAAAATTTGTTTCACAGTGTTGTATACACATGCATACAGGCAAGTATATGTCAGGTGAACTAGTGATGTGTGCGATTTAGTAAATAATATTCGATAGTTGAATCGAACGTGTTAGTACTTGCTTGTTGGTATGTGTATAGGTGCCGATATCATTATGAATTTAATGATTAAAATGTAGGCACAGGAGTCATCAGTCATCACGATTTCAGTAGAGGTCTATAAGTTTCACAGGTGAACACCATACAGACAGTAGGGCACAGTCCTAATGTCCAGTTAATCAGTACGCAAACGCTATATACTGTGGTTTATGCAATTGCATGACCATATATTTATGTCTACAATTTCGAATACAGGCCAGCGTGGATGTGAGTGATACTCGAAATTCTACAAATAACGAATGAGAAAGTATAATGAAGACTGACTAACATTTTGGGATAAACAGAATTATTATAATTATTCTGAGTGGAACGTAGGACTTCAATAGCACATCTTCCATTCTGTTAAGTCCTCTGCGTCTAGCCCCACCAAATACTCAGAAGCTTTCATCTCCTGCGCACACCATCTCCTCTACATCAACCTCGGAAACATACTCAACTCGTCATTTCTCATTCGGGTTCCAGTCAAGAGATGGCCTAATGCACTATGTTACCCGACGGTCTTTTCAACATGTGTCCAATTCATCTCGACTTCCTGCAGGATATTTCTTGTGTGATAGGTTCTGGTTAGTCTGTTGCCTCTCAAAGTTTCTTGTTCCTAATTCTTTCTGACCATCTGATTGGAGCGGAACCAGTTGTTGGTAAGAGTTTGTGGTGCAATGTTCGGAGTGTTTTCGGTAACACTCAGGCCAAGTTTATAACCCATTTAAAAGAAGAGCTGACTTAACAGAAATGGGAAGAAAAATCGAAGTTGTTCCCTGTTGATTGTGGAATAGTACTTTTATGAGAATGCATCTTTTTAAATCAGTTATTCAGTATACAGAGCAAATCATTACGCTTATTAGTTATGTGCAACAAGTGTAATCATTTCAAAAACTCTGTTGATACGATAGTACGAAGTGAGATGGATTGTTTTTTTGTACGCTGAGAATTCACAAAATCTGGAACGATCTCCGTGAAATTCTATAAGTTGTGCCACATCTCCTGAGTTGACTGAGTGTTCTGATAGTAGATTGTTTGCTACGATTCTACGCATGAACACACGAGGTATTAGAGTTCTTGGTGTCTCCCTCCTATTGATCAGTGAGAGAAAATCCTGCCAGCAGAAATCAACCAATTTGGTTGAATATTTCACAGTACAGAAGACTTTCAAGATTGACTACATCACTAAGCGACACTGACTAGTGATTCACTGAGATTCGTGGAGCATTGGTTATCTGTTTCATTCCAGTTTGGGACTCCTCAGCACTGAGTACTCAGATACCCACTAGGAGGTAACAGCTGTCTAGTACTTTCTAGTTTCCGGTGAATCCCTAATTGATTCGTCAATTTGTGATAAAATCTATCTTGAAATCAACTGAAGTACATACAACTGAACATTTGAAAACTCCGTTTCAGTATTCTGATTTATAACTTTATAAATTACATTGAATCAATAGTGTCGGTGGATTACATTTTCCACACAAACTGCTGTAATTCTGAAACTAAAAGGTGAAGTACATAGGCGAGATATCTCCGTTTGTATCCACCGATTCAACTCCTCTTGTGGAACTAGTAATATTGAGCGCTGCTCTAGGAACTTACTGTTTTGACTTCAGGAATACCTACCAGTGTGGCTAAATAAAGGTTTTATTAAATCCATCAAAAATTCTGTATTAGATCACCTTGTCCAAATAGACCATAAAGCAGCTAGCATTGAAGAATCTTTGTCATCTATCGTGTATCGAAAAAATTGCCAAAGACCTCTAGATACCGAACACTGAACAGGAGAGGCCGTCATAATTCGTTTGAATCAACCGAACTCCGTGTGCATAACAAAACAAGTTCAGCCAGCCACTGTTTCTACTCTGGCCTGCCAGCGAACCTCTGAATTCATAAATTCTGTGTGTTACTTCCCCTAATTTGTCTGACACTCAGTCAATTTAGTGTTATATTAGTGCATATTATCCCTCTCTTCCTGATGCTTTTGAAATGTAATTTGTCAACACTATTGATTTAATGTGATTTAAAACAACAATAAAGCTGTTAACAACAATGTTTCTTGAATTAATTATCGTCTTATATACTTAGAAGCTGATGATGAAGTTATCGGAAAGTCAGTCTTTTACATTAGAAATCGTAAACAGTCTTTAGAAACCGAAATTAGGAACTCTTTGTGATTGGATCACAAAGATATATCGCATGAATAATTAAAAATGAGGTATCTGAAGGACGAAAGGTTTTTCTTCCCAAAGTATTCATACAGTTCACTAAAATCATCTAGTTTCAACCCTTAAACAATTGTCGATAATCTGGACGTGAATGATGAAACTACTGATTCGCATGAGTAGTATATCAGTATTCACATCAAAAATTTCAGCTTTACCAGTCTGTTCTTTAAAGTAGTATTCAACATAATCGCTGGAAACAGAATAATTTCAAGTTGGAAACTATTCGCTTGTATCAAATACTATCGAAAAATTCAAATGCCGAGAGCATGGTATATGTCATCCAAATATGTCGTATTTTTTATTCATTCGTATGTTTGATGCGATGACGTATGTAGCATCTCGTACATAACCCACAATGTAGGGACATTCAAAAGAAGTCCAGGTCCGATGGGTCGCAAAAATATAGGGTGTAGGGTATACTCAGAATAAAAAGCAGAACGACATGGTTCTTAGCGATGTTTCGCTATTTGATTTTTAATAGCGTCATCAAGATAATCAGCACGAATTCTCTGCATTATGTAGCCACTAATTATCACTAATGTCGCAGAATCATCAAGTTTGTATAATACAGTCACTAGAAGTATTAAAGTAATAGCGCTTTCTGAGAATATAAAACTGAATTCGCCTAAAAGTACTGTAAGACTTATAATTCACGAGACAAAAGGGAGGTACGCACAAGTTACAGATGTTTGAATATTTCTGTGCATCTGATGGCCAAAAGACTATCGAATTTCAGTATTTAATGAGAAAGGTTATCTTGTTGTTTTTTAAAAGCGAGGCCAATCATTGAACGATTTTCCTCAAGTATACATTGGCTGGAATAGCAGACAAAATGAGGTTTAGAAACAGTGTGTGTGTGTCTTACCTGAATAGCATTCGATGAGGTATGGTCGGAACACTTCACAGATTTAATTCTTTGAGCGAGAAGCTTATCCATGAAAAATCTTACAACGCTGCTATCTCGGGGCACAGATCTAGCGTTTTTTCTCATAAAGACTAATGACTTTCATGGCCAACATTCCGGCACTATGGTTAAACACAGAGTCGATGGAAAGATATTTCATAAAGAATTCTTAAGTCCCTCGCAATGAAATGGTGTCATTCTATAAATAGGTTTATTAGAATCTCTGTGCGTCGGAAGAATGCTCACCAACCACACTTCATGTGGTTCGGGGTTCGATCCCCGACCGCAGACGCACTCCTTTACCTCGCTAAGCCAGTAATAAGACAGGTAAAGAGGGAAGGTTGGACATGAGACTAGCAACTCCATCCCTTAAAAATAAATACCACTTCTACTGAAACTTCAAGCCTCTAGCTTGAAGCCCTATGTTCCAGTGGGAACGTAAAGGAACAAAAAATTAGAGTTTCTAAAACTTTGTTTTAGCGTTAGCATGATAATGTCAATCAACTCAGTTGGCAGGCAAGTCCACGAAGCTTTCAAGCAATTTAATGAGTTAGTTATCATTGTTACTGTTCATCTTGTCTTAATGATGCGTTTGTTCTATAATACAATGCTGTTTTGAAATTGTAGAACAATGTCTATAAGAAGCATGTTTCAGATATGTAGCTAAATTTTGCATACACCGGTAATTGTATGTAAGGATTTGTACCGCTCATGATTTATTGCTCAGACTATATTAATCACATCAACATGTAACGCTGAATGTTTAAAATGAACATGACTGCAATGTGAGTTACTGGAGGTGTTTTCTGGTGCATCAAAGAAAACATTCCCAACAGGCAGATGTAGACTTTCGTCAACAGTCGTCACTGTGCGTCGGTGGCACAGTGGTTAGGACTCTCGCCGACCATGCACATGGTCCGGGGTTCGAGCCCACGCCGGCGCACACCTGATATCTATGGTCGGCCTGCAAAATTTGGGCTACCGATATCCATGCTGAAAATTCCATACTGTACCAAAAATACAGTGTGGAATTAAGCTGTAAATCAAAAATCAAAAAAAAAAATCAAAAAATTAGATGTTGAGAAAGAATTAACAGAAAGAAACTGTGGTAACTAATAAGTCAAGAACCTATTGCTCAGAAAATATGTAAAAGAAAATTTAGATTTATTGGATACACATTTAGGAGACGGTTGAATGATATCGCGTGCAATGCAGGCTCTCGAGGGGAACCTGAATGGGAAACGACGAGTTGGTCGTCTGTCCGTTGGTGACATGGAGGAAGTCGTGTGAGGAGAGGATGAAAGCTTATGGGGGATCGCGGTGCGAGATGAAGAGGAATACAAAGAACAGGATGAAACAGAGGTGTCCTTTCAATTTGAAAGCCAAATGAATTAATAACACTGGTGCTATTGGTTAACTACACTATACCAGCCCTTATTCAACATAATTTGCCCAGTTATCAAATAAATCAGGTACTCCACCCAACTCGGAAGACCAACAACACAAAACACAAATCAAAAACATTCAGTTAATTAGTAATGTGTTCTGCGAAGCAGTATATTTGAATAAAACTAAAAAGTTAATAAAACTCAGGGAAAAGGATTTAGAACTTATCTAGCTGGTATTTCTGAACTACCGACTCAGAGAATGTGTGTGTGTGTGTGATGACAGCACAAGGAAGGAGCACAAAAATGGCGACCAAGCCCATTAAAACCAATCGTAAAACACTCGAAGGTGCACTACAACAGCGCTTTTGTTTATTTGCTCGTTGAATACAAAAAGAAGAAAAACTGACATAAAAGTTCATGCGTATAGGTGCACTACATTGTCGAACAGGTTATGTATATTGGGTTCACTTAAACCCGTTAGAAGGTGGAGAATTATCCCTACATTTTATGGATAGGATTCTACGGGAGTGCATTAACAGTATTCTTGAATGAAACACGTTTCCATCTATTCACAGCCACTGAATATTTGTAGTCATTTTATCAGTGATAATTGTATTCTCTTATTATTATTACTCTCTTGGGCTTCCATTTCACCTCGGACTAACGACCAGTCGGCTTCTATTCAATCAGTGGCCCAGTACACGATGTTACTCAATATCTGATCAACCTCTGTTTCCTCCTGAATATTTATTGAGTGGTAAGCTCTTGGTTGTTTCCTTCTCACAGTTTCTTGGTGTTAGTTCTTCCCAGTCGACCATTTCACCATCAGTTTGGATCCAGCGTAGGTGGCAGCTGTTCATAAAAGTCTGAAGCCGTCTGTTCGAAATACTTTTCGTGGCGATAAGGTCAAGTTTCTGACCCTATAGAGAAAGGACTAAATTAACTCTGGTGTTGAAAGTCCGAATTTTGCAGTTTATGTTGAGTGACATCCTCAGCTATGGCGCCTAGTTATACTCCCTGATATCTTTGAAATGATAATCAATACTAGTGAAGTTTTAAATATGAAAGTAAAGTGGTCTTCACAAATCGTTTCATGATTGCTTTTTCGTTTTTTTAAAATATTTTTTTAGAATTCCAATTCCACCTGTGCATCCCCGAATGGTTCCACACTGACAATGTATGGGACTCAGCATCGTTTTAAAATTAGTCCAAATGCTTATCATGATTTAGAGAATGGAAACAATTCAGTAACTATGAATAATAGTAACAATAGTACTCGTCCCGATGCAGATGTGGATTCAGCCTTCCCACCGAAAAAGTTATATACCGATGATATACCTGTATTGTAAGTAGTACTTATTATTGTTGGGTTAATTTATTTATTTGTAAACCTGTTTATCAATTCACTTATTGTGTTTGTAAGAATGAATATCTACTGTCCGTTCATCAAATATTTCTGTGCAAATTCAAAATTTCCCTCGAATCGTATACGAGAAAACGCATTCAACGAAGAGTTACCTTTTTCAGTGAGATCATTCGTATGCTGTACAATCGTATATGTGTATAGTAAATTTTCTTACCAGCAAAAGAAATATTCTCAAAGATGGGTCATTAGAATTGTAAATTTCATGTGACAAATAAGGTAAATCGGGTAGAAACTAGAATAAACCCTGTGGGTACGTGCTGATGAAGAGTCATAAACTGGACTGACGAAACAGCTGTCCAGTAATCCCTGCAGGTTTTCCAATGGTTCTCTAACTGATGTCAGCTTATGAGGAAATCCTCCAACCAATCGAAAAAATCTCTACAAACCAATACCTAAAATTAAATAATTAAGTTGGGGAAAAAACAACAAACAGAGATCAGGTCCATTATAGATTTACTGACTGGACAAACTTCTTCTGTGTGCAGAGTTCAGGATTTAACATGTGAATTGCCATTGCTTCTGAGGTTTAAAGAAGTTTGATTCGTATCCTATTTAGCAAGTTTTCCGCATATTCTGTGGGTTATTTTAAGGTTGGTTTGTGAATTAGCTTGGTATCCAGATTCGATCAGATAAACCAAGATAGAGTAAGAGGGTAGGGATGTTTTTTCTCCTTTATAAAACCATCAGCATAAGTGTTCGATGATACGTTTAGATAGCAAACGCTGGGCACGGCCGACATACTGAACTCCACACCAGCAGGTGAATCTATGAAGCTAGAAGTGGTAAATTATCCTTTACGTTCCTGCGAATCCCTGGTATTGTAGAGAAAGTTAGTCGAAGCTCAGCCACTAAGAAGAAGGTTTTCTTCAATGGGTGACAGAGGCGGTTTCTCAGTATTTCTGCCTATGAGTCTGCATTGAATTGTAGATTCAGATAAAGAAGTCTTTTAGGAGTAGAAAGTGTGGGTGGCTATATTGGTTTATACTTCATGGATTTTTTGATGAAACGTTCAGGGTGGCCGTTTTCATGGAGGATTCACTTCAGTGTGCTCAGCCCCTCTTCCCTGGTGTCAGGCTGCAAATGTTGTGGATTCTGAGGCTTAATGAACGGATCAGGTAACATTTTGTATATAAAGACACGCAACTATGAAATTTAATGAGTTATCAATCAGTTCCATGTCAGCTTTCTGTAGATAGATCTTTTTAGTGTTCCATCTTGTTCACGTCTTGTTAGGTGAACGTCAAGAAAAGATATTTTTCAGTCGAACTCCTTCTCTAGTGTTAACTTGATTGTAGAGTAAGAGCCGAGTTCTCCTTATAACTGGAGCTAATGAAAGTATCATCTGCCTGTCTCCTGTAAAACCTAAAGATGTCAATCATTTTCTTAAGTATGTGTGTTTCTAGTTTCAACATGAAGAAATCTGCAAGCAACGGGTTTAGTAGTTAACCTATAGCTTATGTTTATTAAATTTCTATTTGCCCCTGAATTTTTGGTGTATTTATTTCACGTTACTTGTACTTACAAATGCAAAGATAAAGTATTTAGATAACAGTCAAACTGCTGGTCGAAACAAACATCTAACCTCATCTAAGTCTTATTTAGAATCAGAGACTGAACACTGTGAAATAAGCGATACACATAGACCATTTCGATTAGAACAACTGTAGTCAGTTACTGAGGCTTTTTTTTATTTCTTTAGTCACTTGATGACATTTATTCTTGTCCTGTGACATCTCATTATAGTCGCATGATCCGAAGAATTACCTGCTGAATATCTTAGATTGACTTGTTTGGTTAACTCTAATTTTCTACAAAACATTATTAAGTGAGATGCATAAGATACTTTCCCATATTGTACAGTTTAGCATTATTTAAAACACAAACTTCGTACAATATGGAAAGCAGGAAAGAAGAGCCACATCACAATAACAAAACAGGATACAAGGCAACAATCGATGTCATCCACAAAGCAAGAAAGTCTACTTGCCAAGTTAATTCAGTATTCATTACCTCATGGTACTTTCAGAGAAAGAGAGAAGAAGAAGAAAGGAAGTTACAACAGGTTTGCCACTGATAGCGATTCTTCGTCATATCTGATCATGTCTCAAGCCACTGATTTGAAATATCTCTCGAACCCCAGTTACAAAGTTGTCATTTTGTACCAAATGACGCCACCTCAAAACAAATATTCTTTATCCTATGACGCCACATCATAGGCTGGTCACCTTTCCACTTTTTACGTACACTTCCACGTCTATCGAACAGACGCTGGCACGCAAGTCTCTAGGATGACATTCGTGGCACACGTCTAAGCCACCGAAGCCAGTGTTTCTAGATGACAACACTCAATGAGCGGTGATCTCTACCGTGTCTAAACACACGACGTTGGACCTCGGAATTACTTACACGATGACTCATCGGTAGCAAACAATTCTACGGAAAAACAGATGATCAAATATGCAAAGCTGCCTCACATGATTGGAATTCCTACGTCTTTTAAGTGCGAAGCTATTCACAGTTTGTTTAACATCAAACAAAAGAGAATGTACACTGTCTCTTTATCTATACGATCTTTTTTCTTACAAAACTATTCAGACGTTTCCGTGGATAAACATTCTATTGGGTGGAAACTGAAAATCGAATGAAGCATGTACACATCTGTGTATGTTTTAGGGAACTAACTTGTGATGAGTGTAGTGACTATCTTACTTGAAATGATATTTATTTGTATTAGCTGAGGTGAGATGAAGTACTCACTGATATGCGCGACGTTGATTTTTATATATGCAAATGCAGCATCTTTACTGTTATCAAATCATCTGTTGATCTGTTCAAGTTATGAGTCTTTCTCCAGTACATGATGACCAGTCGTGACTGAATCGAAAGTTCTACACGAACTTCACAGTCGAAAACTTTGAAGAGTAATTCACCAACTGTAAAATTATGAAGGACTAGGACTGGTATTGTGAACTGAGATAAATTCATCCGGCATGGACAAAAGGATACACACTGATTTGTTGATTTTTATAGGGAAATGTAAATTAAATATTTGTTATTGGAGTGGCGAGTTTTTTTATTCCCAACCTGTACATTCAGCTTTTCGTCGTTTTTTCTTCCCAAAGCTAATCTGGAATTCTCTTATTTGTCCTCTGTTAAAAACCTTGGTTATATGTGTGTATGTAATATTATAGTTACAAATTAGTTGCTGTCATACTTGTAAAATAGCATTCCTCTCCATTGACAAAGACAAGGATAGTGTACTTTCTGCTCACTTCATTTGCCTTACGTAAAAGATTAAAACTTGACATTACCACCGTATAGAAAGTAATTGCTGTCAGTTCGAATTTAAATTTCAACTTTTGAAGCAACAAGTGTCAATTGTTTAAAATATCTTGTTTACAGATATAAACACTTAGAAAAAGAGATTTTGATTCCTTGAATTCTGTAGATCATTGGTGGCGGATTGCTTAAAACTTGGGCTACCAACATTTTTGCTAAATGCCAGTTCTCAAGTTTCTATTAAATTTGAGCGAAAAGCATAATCATTGGGGGCTGAGTATCTCAGTGTCCCGAGTTATGCCCTTGGGTCTCGAAATGTACTTCTGAACTTTTTATAATTACCTAATAACCAAATCTCGTGCATATATCTAAGGTGACAAAGAAGACATGTTATAATGGATTGGCTTTCGCTTTAGGTCAGACAGCATTGTGTCACATGACCTACTGTCATTGAATGTTTTTTCCCTAAAAATCCTGGACGAAGAGATATCGTTCAATAGACTTCTCTGGAAATTCTGTACGTTATATAAGACACTGGTGCGTCGGTGGCATAGCGGTTAGGGCGCTCGCCGACCGTCCACACGGTCCGGGGTTCGATCCCCGGCCGCCAACGCACTCCTTTACCTCGCTGAGTCAGAAATAATCCTGGTAAAGAGGAAAGGTTGGGCATGAGGCTAGTAACCCTATTCTGTAAATTAAACACTGCTACAGAAACTCCAAGCCACTAGCTTAAGGTCCTATGTTCCACTGGGGAACGTGAAGGAACAAAAATATAAGCACTGTCCAGAAAAATACTATTTTTATTATTATCATCATCATCACTAAAACGAAGCTGTTGCCCATATTCCTATCACCTTACCAATTTTATATTTTACTCAAAACTCGTGGCCCATGGATCTACCAATATCAAGGGGTCAGGTTGATGCTCATCGAAGGCGGTGATTAGGTGAGCAGCACTATACCACGAATTGACAACGTTGAAATCACAGGTCACTAAATTCCGGCCCGAATAGCTGAATGGTCAATGTGCTTCATATCGTAACCTGAAGATCCCCAGGTTCCTTCCTTGATGATGATCTCATTGGTGTTGCACTAGTGTTGCTCAGTGCTCCTTGCCGGCGTTTTCAGTAATCTCTACAACTGAGGCCTTGGCTCATGACGAAATCGACACTGGAAGTTAATCCATCAAATCCGTAGACGAAAAACTCATAATCTAAAGTTTTAATATTCACTAAACATACTTAATAATTTCTTTATTTTATCACATTTGAAGAAAGAATATATACATATTTGAAAAAAACATCAACAACAACAACAATATCTTTTAAATATCTGCGTCTACAAGAAAAAAAGAAAGAAGAAGAAGAAATTAAAAGATTTACATCATTGGGGCGTGGTGTACATCTTCTATATTGCTGCAGTGCAATAAAAAACAACACCAATACCATAAAAAACACAAAGTAAGAAGTGATAGCCTAATGTAGAGAGATATAAAGAGAGAGTAATAAGCCTACAGAGTAAACAAAGCTGATGACGACGATAGTGATACTTCTACTACTACTACTACTACTAATAATAATAATAATGATAGGAGTAATACTTGTGGTATAATATGATAATAATGACGGTGTAATACTGATGATGACACTGATATTATAATGACGACTGTCATGATAATGTGTGATAATGTTGGAAATGACTCATCTTGATTGTTTTCGTTCTTCGTATATGCTACTTTCTTCTTTTTTCTTTGGTTGTTGTTGTCAATGTATGATAGTGTGACGTGTTTACGTATTCACATGTATGTACAGTTTAGGTATACGACTGTGTGTGTGTGTGTGTGCGAGTGTGTGTGAGTATGTGTCTACCGATACTAAGGTGTACAAGCGCATTCCTTGTTGTTGTTGTTACCATCGTTAATTATTTATTACAAATAGAAGAGAACACAACTACTCAACTTTACATTGAAACTTTAAAATAAACCCAACTGAAAAGTTACCCCTGTGTAAAGTAGTACAGACATCTAGAGATTTAGTGTTCATTCAGAAGAAAGAAAAGTCTATTTATTTTTTTATTGGTTTTCGTCAAGGATAATTATCAGTAAACAAATTAAAACAAATTAAGTTGTTGTTTTTTTTTGAAATTTTGGATAACTAACCTTAATTTGATGACTTGTTTCTTTGGCGTGTGTAGTTTCATGAAATTATAATTAACTTTATTTAGTAAACAAAATGAAAAGAGGGATATATATGTATATATAATTTTAAACTGTTTTAAGCGGATAGGTTTTTGACTAGCAGACATCATCGCATATGATGGACAAGATCTCTAATCGTCTAGTGAAAGCTGGGATGGTGTTGGTATACGCCAGTTTAGGCCACCACTAGCACCGTCATGATGTCAACCTGGCAATCAAAGGTGCGGTCAGTGTGTGAAGTCATGCGCCTGAAGATATGCGGCGACTCTGCATATCTGATCGTTGCTGTCTTTGTGAAATTGTTTGCATCCAATCGCAATATCGTGTGAGTAATTCTGAGCTCCAACAGTGTATGTTTCAACATAGTAGAGGTCACCATTCATTGTATGTCGTCATCTAGAAACACCGACTTTGATGGCTTACACGTGTGCCACGAATGTCATCCTAGAGGCTTCCGTACCAGCCCTGTTCGCTAGCTCTGAGATTGTATGGAAAAAGTGGAGAGGTGATCAGCCTAGTGACGTGGCGTCTTAGGAAGAAGGATATTTGTGTTGTGTTGGCGTCATTCGGTACAACATCATGATTTTGTCGTTTGGGTTCGAGAGATATTTCAAGTCGGTGGCTTGAGACATGACCAGATATGGCCAAGCTTAGCCGATAATATGCCTGGGAAAGAGGGAAGTTACGGTTTCTGAAGAGATCACATTAAGAACTCACATATTACGTAATATTTGATGTAACACTTGCTGTCCATTCCGAATTATACTGTCTGACAAGACAATACAGTTCCAAAGTATAGTGTACCTAAATGACCTCGGAATCAGTGGATTCCTTTTGGATTTTCGTGAAACACTCATGTTATTTGATTAAACTGTAAGAAATGTCACCTTTGTCAGAAGAAAAAGACGCGTACATTCTAAAATTTAAAGTTAAAATATAGAAATAAGTCTTTTGTCATGTCTGAGTTTTCATTCAGTTTTCAAGCACTACTGTGATCACTCTAAATTCTCCAGTTATTTTACGGTAAATTTACCAATCTGCATAAAATGTTGGTGATTTTGCATGAAAAATCAACCCTTGAAAATTAATCTGATGCTCGCTAGTGACTTGCTACAGGATATAGTTTCCTGGAGTTCTAGTGTGAAGTCGTGACCAGTGACCTGCATTCAGTGGGGAGTAGGGATGGATTTCCCACCGATGACATTGGTTGGTAGTCGCGCTAAAAATCACGAATCGGTAGAAGTTAGAATTCATGTGGTGACCATTGAATTGAGTCCCAGTGGCTGAATGGTATACGAGCTTGTCTTGTAACCGGAAGGTCCTGGGTTCGAACCCAGTGGGTGCGCACTGCCGATAATTCCTAAACTAGGGTGAAACAGCTGTTCAGTAATGCCTGCTGATTTTCAATAGTTCTCTAACTGATAGCAATCCGTGGTTAGATTCGAAGAACAGTTTCTGAAAAGTACGAAGCTTAATTGTTCTAATATCTAGTGAACAGAAACAACATAAATTAGGTTCCAGCACAGTGTTTCATAATCATGAAACGCGAATTTATCGTCGAGACAGTCGGTGATAGGGCTTAAAATCGTTCTCAGTGGTGTAGATGTATTCACTCCTTGTGAAATGCCATAGCCACTAAACTCTGCTCTCTTTCCATGTTACTGTTCTTTCTCGCCTATATTTCTACTTTTTATCATTATTTCCAATTTATTTTTCCCTCTGTTTTTTGTCTTCCTTTGTGTGGTACACTGAATTTGGCACCTCAAATTGGTGTATTTCTGTGCAAAGTTCTAGGATGGAACCCGTCAGTCGGTCAGTTTCATAATCACGGCAACTCTCAAACTTTGCTTGAAATGTTATTCAGTGAAAACACTGTACTTACAATGTAAGGCAAAAAACTGACATGGAATTATACCGTGCCACAGTAACAGGGTTTTAAACCAATAATTTGCATGACTATTCCGAAAGGGAAGCAGCGTGTGGGACGTCCAAGGTGACATGGAGGAGATCGTGTGCAGAGGAGTTGAAAGAATATGGACTAACATGGATGCAGGCGAAAAGTACAGCATAAGACAGAAGCAAATGGAGACGTGCAGTTGAAGCCGTATGTTCCACTAGGAACCCAAGGGAGCAATAATAATAATAATTCCGATGTTTATATGTTATTACTACTGGTTGGTGTTACCAGTCAAAGTGAAGCCTGTTCTTTGATATTTTAGTCATATTTTCAAGTTATAAACTTGTAATAACATATTGGCGGTAAAAATCCCATCAGTTAGATGGTTTAAACTTCCCAGGTGAATTAGAAATTTGCTAGAACTGTCGTATACTACTGGTAAACGTTAAATAAAGTCGATCAGTAGTTAAGTTGGAGTAAAATTTAAATAAAGCTGCAATTAAAGTTCACTTGTTTTTCAACTTGTTTCTGTTGTATTCGCCTTGTTCGAGTGTTAACTTCGAAAGATTTCTTCGTCAACTTGTTCTTGACAAATCTGTAAATATTATTCAATTCCCGTTTTTGAATCCCTTAACAACTTTGAATTCACCAGTTCAGACATTTCAGATTTTTATTGGTCAAAGGCATGATAGTATCGACCAGCATGTAGTGAACTGACTGATTTCATATTATGGTGCCAATAAGATGAGTGATTTCGTGTTATTACTCTATGTGCTCCTGTGCACTTTTCATGGTGACATGGTATGACTATTCAGGATAACGACGATTTCCACAGTTCTTACATTCAACCCGTGGTCTAAGATCACGATCATCTACCGATAAGTGGTATCTGTCAGTGTGAATAATCCTGAAGTAGAAAGGACAACTAGTTTTGTTAGATCAGCTCATTTTTCTCTTCATTTCTCGACTAATATTCACATGTTTCACGACTTTTGATGTGTTTTTTCTTTAATTACAGAGATTCATTTCCTGGTTATTATGGTTTCGATCTTTATCGACCATTGTGTGGAGATACTTATGAAGCAAGTGAAACGAAACCAAGCACAGCATTTTTTGTAAGTTCATTTCTTTTTGCTCAGTAAAACTTAAATTATGTTAAGCAAGAACAATTTTTATGAGTGAATATAACACACAGTCAAATCTATCTTCTGATTTTTGAAATTACTTCAAAGTCATCATAAAAGCAGAAGTTAAGTCTTCCATCTTACTTATTGTTCTGTATTGCTCCCTCATGTCAGTCTCTTCTGGACTATTCAAAAAAGACTACGTCATATTGAGGGGAGGGGTATTAAAGGTTGTCATTAGGGTAGGTAGTGTCCCAATATGTCATCTGGTTACTGCTATGGTCGACAGACACCTGAACTCATGTCAGAAATGGTCTAAATCCATGTTGTCTGACTATTAACACACTCTTTATTCACAAATATCCTTATGCATCTCATTAGGTAGGACTTGAAGTCATTAGAAAAGATTATATACTCACACAATCGAGTACAAAGATACCTTATTTAGTCCCCTTCTACGTGGTAGAGGAAGTATTAAGCGCCATTATTAGCAAATAATTGGCTCTTGTATCTTCTAATTGTAGTTTATGATGACTTTACTTCAGTTCAGGGAACCTACGTCGTCAACGATTTCTGTATTGTCATAACATCAATATGGTAGTGATTTCCTTCGAAAGACATCAGTTTACCAAGTGGGAATGCATTTTTGTCAGTTTGATGAACAACTTTACTGTGTTTGACTTTTTTCACTGTACACATTCTTTTTACTTTACAGTACTTTAAAGATGAACAAGGATGGACTAATCTTTATGCAAAGAAAACACCTACTTGGTGGACATTATCCTACTGGTGTCAACGTAAACCACCAGATGGTTCATTTATTCGTTTAACACCCGTGTATGGAGCGTCAGATAAACAACAAGAAGTAATCCAAAGGTGATTTATCGTGTACATATTAATTCTTTTTGTTCCTTTACGTTTCAGGTGGAACATAAGGCTTCAGGCATTAGCTCTGAAGTTTCTGTAGTGGTGATTTTATTTTCATGGAATGGAGTCGCTAGTCTCACACCCTACCTTCCCTCTCCATCAGCCTTAATAACTGCATAGGAAGTTATAAGAGTGAGTCGTTTAGGGGTCGAACCCTAGACCACGTGAATGGGTGGCGAGCGTTCTACAGCTAAATCACCGACGCACATAGTATATCCAGATTAGAGCAATTATTGGTGGGTTTCGCATACCTGATGTAACTACCAAAACTGACTTGTAGTGGTTTGAACAAAGGGAACTTATCTTTGTGTTTTATTGTATAGCTTTTTCTGAGACTTCCTTGAGAAATGCACAGTCACAAAACGCTCCAAAGACAGTAAACAGACAGTAATTTGTCGATAGATTTATGTGACTCTATTCAACAGTAATGACACCAAGAAATCAAAATTACCTCAACATTACCGTTGCGCAGCTATACAGATCAGAGAAGTTTCTAGTGCGAAACAAGTACTGTAGAAAAAAATTAGTTAACTAAAATTCAACTGTGAGAAGTACCCGAGAATCAAATCGAATATTCCCAACAGTGTGAGACCAAAACTCTGTCCATAGGAATTGCATACCAACACTTTCCACAGATAATCCAAGACCAGAAAGACCTCGACTCACTTAAACAAAAACCACATCATGAAACAAAACACTATCAGTGTACATGCAACCACAAAGATAAGCATAAAAATTGGAGATTGAACTATGACAAAGATAAATGATAAAGATTAAGTCACTATATGATAGCAAATGTAAGAACAATGGTATACAGTCTAGGAGAAAAACGGATAATAGTTGCAAAGGTGGTTGAAACATCCAAAGAAGTATAAATATTGCGGTTAGATCGTTCAGATGGAGATTTTCCAAACAGTCATTCTGTTACACCTGCTAAGAACTTTTACTGTACAATCAATCTAGAAAATTTTCATCTATAAATCCAATGTCAGGAAATGATGCTTCAAAGTTCGTCGATAAAGGCGCTTTGTTTCAGCAAGTAGTTAGCGATATTCGCTTTTATTCTCTGTATACTAAGAAGGATTATTTGGTTGTATTATTAGAAACAGGAGTATTTTTTCTCAAAATTTGTGCTCTACTTAAAAACCTATTTGTTCTCACACAATTATTGCTTCTCAAAATGATTAAAATGATTGTTTTTTGAGGTAATTTAACTCTGTGATGTATTGAATAACTCTCCGACGTTTGAGACAGTGGGTGCTAGTTTTAGTTTTCAGTAGGAACACCAATACTCACTAGAATGCAGGTGTATCCAAGTGCCGAGCCCCAGATAAGATGAAAATCACATCCGGTACCCCACTGCTGGTCAGGATCAACTAAATAACACATAGAATTAATTGAAGGGATACAAAAATAACCATTGTTATCTTCTATTAGAGTTTTTATAGCCCAGTCAACTTGCCCTGTTTTAATTATTACCCCAGTAATAAGATGCATGCGATTCGCTCCCGCCTGATGTAAGATAATGCTACAAGACTGGACTACGTTGACTCCTAGCTTAGAGATATGTAGGAGTGAAGTGGGGGCTGAGCGTGTCGACCACTTCACTTATCTGGGAACATGCATCAGCCAGTGCCAGGGGGTTGATCGCTGACAAAATCTCATCACAGATACAGAACGCTACTTTGGTATATGCCAACTTACATCACGTCTAGTGTAGACGTGATATCCGGCTGTCAACCAAAGGTCGTGTGTACTGCTCACCAGTTCTCTCCGTCCTCCTTTATCTCTGTAAGCCAGATATGACCTTTGAAAGTGGAAGATATGAAAAGGTCGGCTAGCTTTCTTTGATCATAGGTGCCTGTGTTTTATAATAGGATGAGCAATATTCAGGTTATACATCAAGTGCTAGGCAAGAAGGGGAAATCAATCAACCGGGTTTTGAAGTTACATTAATTGAGATGGTTAGAATATATGTTACGCATTCATGCGTAGCCATCGCCTTCCTCGACTGACGGACTATGTCAGCTGACATAGGGTCGATCAGGTGGGAAAGTAGTTAGATAGTGGTGGTCAGACTAGACGACAGCCTCATCAGCAATCAAATCCTTGACATTTAATTTAAGCCAGTTGCGTAAGGAGGTTGTAGACTTCCTGACTGGTAGGATTCCTCGGGATGGTAATAGCCAATGGATGGAGACAATCGGTAATATGGCTCATCCTCAATGGCTGGCTCAGATGCATCCACTCCTTGTGACTTATAATATCCAATAAAACTATGTGGTTCCTCCATATTACTATTCTTTTTGCCCGATATCTGTATTTACTGTCTGTGTTATGTGTGCTTTGTGAAGTGTGGAGGCTCGAACTGTTGCACATCCGTGCAAAGTTCTGCGTTGAAACCAGTCAGTTAGTCAATAAGATACAATACTGTACTACATACTGTAAAATTCACATTTGTATCAAAAGTGCTGTTTGGAATAAAGTTATTATTATATTTGAGGTCTAAGATTTTGACTTTCAACTGAATATTTAAGCCACAGTTTTTCCCGACTTTATTAAGTAGTATTTCCTTTTTGACGCCAGTCTATTCACCAGGATGAAAGATTCTGTTCTCCCCTCAAATAGTGAAATAAGATTTTCTATCCTGTGGGAAAGAATAAAATACCCTACCAGTCTTGCTGCCCCACTAGAAAAATATTAATTTCGAAGAGCAATGGGAAAGACAGGAAAATTATATATATTTTTTCTCCCCACCTCTTCCTTTTATGATAGTTCTGTGACTTCTATCCTACCTACTAGTATCACTGCATAATGTGCGAAATTGCTTATTCCCCGTAATATTTGTTCCCATCTATCCAATGAACAGGAAACTCAGGGTGAAAAATTAGTTTCTACCTCTACTTCATCAGCCAATGAAATAACAAACCGAAACGCAGATGTTTTTTGAGGATAATTATGTTGACTAATAAAATTTATTGGTATTCAAGTGTTGGTTTGTAGGGATTTGATTGGTTTCAGGATTTCATCATGAGCTGACATTAGTTAGAGAACCATTGGAAATCCTGGGAGTATTGGACAGCTGTTTCGTCCTAGTTTGGGACTCTTCAGCAGTACGCACCCACCGGGATTCGAACCCAGGACCTTCCGGTTACAAGGCTAGCGAGCTCCTATACCATTAAGCCGGAAGGTCCTGGGTTCGAATCCCGGTGGGTGCGTACTGCTGGAAAGTCCCAAACTAGGACGAAACAGCCGTCCAATACTCCCAGGATTTCCAATGGTTCTCTAACTAATGTCAGCTCATGATGAAATCCTGAAACCAATCAAATCCCTACAAACCAACACTTGAATACCAATAAGATGCTCACTGGCGACTGGCCCTATTCAGGTAGGTAGTCACCTGGGTTCCAGTGGGAAGTCGTGACCAGTAGGGTGCAGCCGGTCGGGTGTGAGGACAAATACTCGCCGAAGACATTGGCTAGCGGTTGCGCTATGTCGTGAATTGGCAGAAGTTAGAATTCATGGGCTGGCCATTGGATCGGGTCCCAGTGGCTTAATGGTATGCGAGCTCGCCTTGTAATCAGAAGGTCCTGGGTTCGAATCCCGGTGGGTGCGTACTGATGAACAGTCCCAAAGTAGGACGAAACAGCTGTCCAGTACTCCCAGGTTTTCCAATGGTTCTCTAACTAATGTCAGCTCATGATGAAATCCTGAAAATTTATTGCGCTTCTCTTACCTGTGGGCAAACAGAAGGATCAGTCCATAAAAAGTCCAAAAAGCAGTAATGACATTTAATTTTCGACACAGTTACTTATTTTATGATTTCGCCTAACTAGGAAAATCATCTCATTCTTCTTTCTGTTATGTTATTATTAATCTCCGATCTCCATACTTGACTTAATGTGGCATTGAAACAAAAGTCTTTAGGCTAATCGATAAATTGTTAAGTAATGGTTGGTTGGAGGATTTCATCACGAGCTGTGACATCGCTAAGTGGTGGTGCTATGTTGTGAATTGGCAGAAGTTAGAATTCATGGACTGGCCATTGGATAGGGTCTCAGTGGCTGAGTAATGGTCTACGAGATATCTTGCCTTGTAACGAGAAGGTCCTGGGCTCAAACTCTGTTGGTGGGTGCGTACTGACGAAGAGTCCCAAACTAGGCTGACGAAACAGCTGTCCACTCCTGCAGGTTTTCCGATGGTTCTCTAACTGATATCAGCTCATGATGAAATCTTCTAACTAATCGGTAATATATAAGTGCTCAGTTACCCAAAGAATTAACATTCAATAATTATCGAAATCATCGGTAAACTATATGACGCTGGTATATTCAAAATGAACCTTTAAACAGAGAAAACAAATTTCTGATGGAGTACAGTAACACTGAGGAAAGCTGAAATACCAAAGCCTTTTAAAGGTAAATAAGTTATAGGACAAGTGAAAATTGGGGGTAGGTGGAAATCTGTTTCGTCCTGGCTCGGGATTCTTCACTGGTAGTATGCGTAACGTCAATAGGAGTTGAGATGAACTCGTTGACGTTTCAGTCACTGAGATGGGATCCAGTGATGCATGGTCTCTACTTCCTGTCTGTTATGTGAAAGAGCAGACTTTTAAGGGTCACGAATTAATATTTCTACTCACAAGAATTTTTGGAAACCAGAAAGCACTAGATAGCTGTTCTTGTCATAGTTTATCATCGATTTTGCAATAGTACCCCTTCACAGATTTATAAGGGATTGAGTTTCAAGGGGGTGATTAAAACAGTTAGCCAGTATCCAGTCGTTTTCACTCGTGTTCTTCCAGGTTCTCATTGAAACCTACTTTAAATTCAGTTGAATCTCTTACAGATTCAACAACCTATCGGGTAATGTTCACTAATGAATCGCATATTTGCATCAACATGATATATCGTTCAAATATTACTACATTGTATAAATTATATAATAGATTGTGATAAGTATTCATGTCGTAAATTTGAATTTTGTCCATCTAGGTGTTTTGAAGATTTTATGGCGATACCAACTTCTGGAATGGCCCGTTACAGTATAGTAATGGTTGGCAATTCACTAGCTGAATACTTTTTTGATCCAACAACTGAACGACTCTGTGTCACTTTACCCTATGAAACACCAAAAGGTAAAAACCAAAATCTTATTTTTGAAGAAACATTATCTCTCTGATAATCTTATTGTTTGTTTATCTGCATCAGTTGCTTACTTTGTAAATAATAAGTCTTCCATTCACAGAGGAGTTGAGAACTAACGAATGTTTTATATTATTCAATTTATAGAATTTGTAGGCACTTTAGATTCATTTCAATCGTTAGATTTTCTTCACGAACCAGCGTCAGCTAGAGAGACCACTGAAAACTAACAGGGAGCAGTGTACTCCTGTTTCGTCCCATTTTGGGACTCTTCGGTGGTGCGCACCCACAACACCGTACCTTCAGGTTACGCAACCAAACTCTTTAACTATTCAGTCACTTGGTTGGGAAATTAGTGACCCCTGATGTCTAAATTTATCAACTCGCGATATAGCTCTGCTCTCACCAATGCTTTGGATGACCATCCACTTTACTTTAACATGGTGGACTCCACTGATCAAAGTTAGAATTTAGAGGTAATCCCAAGTGGGTCAGTGAGCTTAGCTGAAGGTCTTCGGTTGGGTTGAGGTTGTACTGCTGAAAATCCCAAACTTGGAGGACAAGGCAGCTGTCCAGTGCTCCGCGTTGGTGTTCAATGATCTCTCTCTTTAAGTGATGTTGTAACATGTCGAAAATCTAAAAGTTTGAATGTTTTATTAGATAGAAAGGTGGTGAACTAACTGGATTGTCTGCAAATCTTCTATTTGTGTCATGCACTCACTTGTAGACCTACATTCATACTTAGACAATTTCCTATACTAACTGACAGTCATTTGTCCTAATTTCTCTTGTTGCTACGCTAAACAGCAGTTGTCAGTAGTTTCTTCAATATACGGCTGTATTTATGCTTGAATAAATAGAAGTATATTTCACTGTCAATTTGTCATCACAGAGTTTTTTGTTTTTCTAAATTATCGTAGAAGTGGATTATATACAAAAGTGGGACATACACAAAAAGAGAAAATCAGCTTGATACAAGAGCAAAATATTCATGTGACTGAAAAGTGAATCATAAAGGGTCAATTTGAAATTATGAATAGCGCTTCTTAATGTGATTTTTCAACGACACCTAGTGTATATCTCAGAAGAATTAGAATTTTTAAAAAAGAGTTATTCATGAGTTCAGATTGATATTGTGTAATAGATGGATAAGTACTTTTGAATCACGTGGGCTTTTTATTCTTGTGACCGACTACTATTTCAGATTGTACGTCAGTGGTTCAGCGGTAGGTACAATACATGCCGACTACACATCTGGTCAGGCGATCAATCCCCTGCTGACACACACTCCTATATCGCTTGGCCAGTAGTGAGACTAGTAAAGAGGAAAAGTTGGGCTAAGTATGGCTAACTACCCCCGCCCCCATGAAAAAAATAAACACCGCTGCTACTGAAAATTATTCAAAGTTCAAGTTTGAAGCTTTACGATCCAAAGATTATCTTAGTTTCATTCTTACACGTCTACTAACCAAAAGTTATGTCAGTGACGACTTCAGAGAAAATATGCCACTGACTATATTTTGTGTTTAGAAACAATGACTGTCGTGTCATTGGTTAAGCGACTTCTAGCAGAACTATGTAGCCATTTGTTTGAAATGTGATCTCATATATGAGCAGTCTGCATGATATAGATTTTTCTGAAAGTAGGGATCTATAGATTCAGCCGTATTCTTACTGACACTCACTGTGTTTCTGTTTGTTTAGCCACAGAAGTTTTCCAATTTGACCTAATTTGTTAAGTGGAATTTTTGAAGAGTTACCTCTTAGGGACTTGATTTGTTTCAAGTTTTCCCCAGGAAGTGATATCTGTTAGGTAACCACTGAGGAGCAACAGGGAGTGCTGGACAGCTGTTTTGTCCTAGGTTGGGACCTATCAGAGGTACGAACCCAGGACCTTCTGCTTAAAGGGTAAGCTTGTAGACCATTCAGTCATTAGGACCCGACTCATTAGCCCAAGATGATCAAGTCCCAAAAGTACTGAGTGATGCATGTGGACTAGTATGTTCCATATGAATACAATTACAGTGAGGATAAAAAGAATATCTTAAATTACTATAAGGGTTTGAGAATACTAAGTCGCTTGGAGGAGATATATTTCCGCAGGCTTCTTAGTTTAAAATATTTCTTTAGAAATACTGAAGGCCAACAGATACCTTAAGTGAATTATCTAGCTGAAGTTCTGACCCGTTTCTTATAATAATCCTATTAATGTATCTATCATTCTAAAATGTTTGTCAAATGTAATATTCAATAGTAACTCACTAAAATTCTTTTTACATAACCCTACTACTAACAAGTAGTATAATTATGTTTATGTTGTAATACATGGCTATCTGGTGGAAATTATGCCCAAATTGAGAGTAACTGAAGTGAATATTATCTGATAAAACAGTTAATAGCTATTCACCTTCACACTTATGCTTTTTCTTAATTACAGAAGGATGTGAATATAGCCAATTCAATGGGAAATTCATGTGTTTCAACAGCTGTTTGTACAATGGTGGCCAGGGGAATAAGAAACCGCTCTACTTAATAATTACACTAGAACGAATAATAACAGGGTAAGTGAAAGTGTTAACGTATAAAACTTACTGTTGTAATGTAATGTGTTGCCTAGTTAGATGCTGTTCGTACTGTTTCTTCATTATTATTTATATATTCTGTTCTATAAACAAGTTCTTGCATTTTGATGACTATACAAAGACAAGCACACAACAACCCACATAATCTTTCGCATAAAATTATGTACTACTGATTGATTGAAATGAGTAGTTGTATACCACTCACCCATATCAATCAGTAATGCCTGTTAACTAGCCAACCAGATTAAAGTGATCTAAAGACCAGACGGTCGTTTCCCTCGTTCAGGACCGAAACCATCAGTAATCGGGTGGTTTTAACTGACTCAGCTATCTGAGAGGAGTCAAACAAGGTACACTACTGATGAGCTCGGTACTAGATGAGAGAGATAGCCGTAGTAAGTAGTATAAAACTACTTATCTCAAGTAGTCAGTAGTCTATAGTTTCATACAAATGTACCTGCTTTTCTTGATTGCCGTTTATGGCATCAGGCAGATCACATACTGTGATTTAAATAATTTGGTTTCCAAAGGAAACTGTGACGAAAATTTCACGCGTTGAACTGTGTACCGTCCAAACTGTCAATTTGAAACAATTTTCTCCTTAGAATATTTAAAACTCTACTTGTTTCCAAAGTATGATACGTCCCCTTTCATGCTTAAGTCTGTATAATCTTAATAATAAGGGTAAATACGAAGTTTGAAGGTAGAGTAGCGCATCCAAATAAATCAGTTTGAATATTAACAATGTAACATAAACTGTAGTAAAAGAATGTCTTTAGCTGAATAGTTATTTGAAGTTTGATAGCTGACTGATTTCAGTTAAAGAACCATTGAAAACCGACACGGAGTACTGGACGTCTGTTTTGTCCTAGTATGGGACTCTTCAGGAGTACAAACCCAGGATCGTCTGCTTACAAGGCGAGCTAGCTCGTAGACCGGAAACTCCTTCTGTGCCCATCAATTCTAACTCCTGCTAATTCACTGCATAGCTCGACCACTTCGCAATATCTTCTTCGGTGAGTAATTGTCCTCACCTTCGACCTGCTGTACCCTCCTAGCGACTGGCCCTATTCAGGCAGTCAGTCAGTCACCTGGGGTTCTAGTGGAAAGTTGTGACCAGTAGGGTACAACAGGTCGAAGACATTGCAAAGTGATCGCGCTATATTGTGAATTGGCAGAATCTGGGATTCATGAACCACAGGATAGGTCTACGAGCCAGCAGCTCACCTTGTAACCAAACGGTCTTAGGTTCGAACCGTGGTGGGTGGATGAGTACTGATGAAGAGTCCCTAGCTAGGAAGAAACAATTGTCTAGTACCCTAGGCGTTCTCGACTCATGTGATCAATCAAATCCCTACCAACCAACATTTTAATGAATAGTGATTTAGTGTTTTGAAGCTCTTAGTCACCTGTTTACAGGCTGTGAGACGTCGGCATAAAAATAAATAAATAAAACTTAAGAAACCATAAAAGCACATTTATCTATGTATACATACATAGTATGTGGAGAAGTTTGTATCGTTTCTGTCTTCGTGTGTGTGAGTGTGTGTGTCTACAGTGAATTTCAATATAATAATAATAAAAGAAGAAGAAGAAGAAATGGAAATAGTCACATCAGAGTAGCGACAAAATAAGGCTTAGTTTGTCTCTTTCACCCTGACATGCTACAGCATGTTTTGAAGAAGGTAAAGAAAAGAAAATTTACTTTATTTTCACTGATGTGATAGAGTTTATCTATCTGAGAGAGAGAAATGAAAGTTTGTATGCAATGCAATTTAAGTGTTGTATTTTGACTGAATACTATATAGCGATAGATAGATAGATGATAGGCTGATAGATAGGCAGATAGTCTTCTATTATGCTTGTAACCATGATTAGCGAGAGAGAGAGGCAGGCAGATATTTTTTACTCCCCGGAGTGTACATTAATCTAGTTAGTAATGATGACAATGAGAGTTAGGTATTTTATCAAACTCAGCAATAATATGCATAACTACATGCATGTCGGACAGAATTAAAACAATAAACTCTTTTTTTCAAAAGTTGATTATTGACTTAGTTACTAAGGTTAGTACTCACCCCAGGTTTTATGCAGCATTTATCATTCATTGCACAGTATGTATTAGTATAACTTGTATAAGTTAAGTTGTATTTGATAAAATTATTCTTTATATATATATATATATATATATATATATATATATATATATATTTCTCAATCTTTCATCACCTTTTCTTTCCTCTACGTCCAAAACACAAGAGAGACCATACCATAATATAGTGACCAGACTTGACCCGAACTGACCCAAAGTATTTTGAACTCTTTCAAAATAAATAAACAATGCGATATAATACAATGATAATAATTTTTTAAACAAAAGATGAACGGTCATTTAGTTAAAAAACGAAAAGACACACTTGTAATTCAGGCAGGCATAAGAGAAAATAGACAGAGAGAGAGAGAAAGTCAGTTTGTCTGGTGACACAGGGAATTCATCATTATGGTAACCTTGAGGTTGTTGTTCTTCTTGTTGTCGCTGTTGCTGCTGCTGGTGGGGGTGGGGGGTGGGGTGTAATCATCATAACAGAAATATTACTAATAGCCTTCATTCTTCTATGGTAGACAAAAAGAGAAAAAAGAAAAACACTTTTCTGAATAGTTACCACACAGAAAAAATATCAAAAATGAGAGAATTCATTAAAACAATAAAAATGGTTGACATAGTTTAAAAAAATTGTGCGGGTAAATGAATCAGACAACGAGTGGGTGGATGTGAATGTTTGTCGGATAGAGAATAACGTCAACAGAAAAGACTTAAAAAATATAAGTGAATAAATAATGCATTCTCTTGTCAATGAAGAAGTCTCTTAGAGATGACAGTACCAGTAATTTCTAAAGTACAACTAGTCAGTTTTTATTCCCATGTCATAGAGATTTCTAGACAAAAAAACAACAACATATTCCGTCTGACTTTTTACATAACTCAACGCACCCCCCCACATCGTCCTCTTACAGTTTGTCAACTCTTGTGTCTTACCTATTCTTTTCTATTCTTCACCCTTATTTATTCTCTCCTGGGTTGCTTAAAAAAAGACTATGTCATACTTGGTAAGATTCTGAAGACTGACTCTCAGTAGGGCGAATGGTATCTTATCCCATTGGGCCATATCGTTGACGTCATCACTAAGGGGCACTTGATTTTATGCAACAAATTTTGCTAAAGGAATTTTGTCAGACTGTGAGTATCCACTTTACCCACAGCTTTCACTCTGCGTCTCCTCAGGTGTAAAACATGAAGTCATTTCAAAAGACTTTATGAGCTCACATCTAACACTTACCAGTCAACAAGGCATATCTGCACTTGTGACGGAGTTCATGTCCCTTCTGGGATTCGAACTTGTGTCAACCAGCAAGTGCTGAAGTCAGAGACGTTACTACTGAGCTATCCGGGCTCGCGATTGACCTCTTGTAGGACTATATTCGATACTTTCGATTGAACATTACGTAGTAAATAACTGGTGTCATGTATCTAATCCATTGTTTATTGTGGACTGAATTCTATCTATGTAATACATTCGTACAGGAGGTTAGTCGCGAGCCCGAATAGCTCAGTGGTAATGTCACTGACTTCATCACTTACTGGATGACACGGGTTCGAATCTCAGGAGGGATATGAGTTCTTTCAAGACTTCAGATATGCCTTGGTGACTGGTGAGTGCTAACAAGCACGAAACCTAGGTCAAGCAAGGAATCCTGCCGATTGCCTCCAACCATCGAATAATAACAATTCTGAATTGATAGCATGTTAGGATTGGGTCTGTGACTAGGGTTTATAAACCTATAGATGGGCATTAGGGTTAAGGCTGGGATTCGGACTAGGATATTCTATTATTATTACCTTGTAAATAAATAAATGGGAGAAGGGATCATCTTAATATACAAGAAATTGATATAAGTGATAGTCCTCATTGTATTTGGGAAGTATTTTCGAATTTCGTCGGAGTTTCACTACTATCGAATGTATTCTTATCACATATAATGTAAAGTTAACAGCCTGTTCTCATTGGCTAACTCAATAGCGCTCTTGTGATCGCTATTCTAAAGAATAGCTCTAATAAATCCGAAATAATCTCGGTCACCAGGTGCTCAGACGACTTTCTATCCATTTGAGTTCATATCCGTTTTAAATGGTTTATTCTTGCACAGAATGCTTTGAAATTGTTCATGACCTAAAACGGAAAGAACTACAGGTGTAAACAACATTGAAAATTGTAAGAATTCTAACCATCTCTTTTGATAAATTGAACCTATTTATTAATTACTGTTATCATCACTATTCCTTTTCTTTTTATACAGATGTGATCCAAGCAAAGGACACTGTGAAGTACTTGGACGTCAATGTATTAAATTTCGTAGTTGTGCATGCCCTAAAAGAGATAAAGAAAATAATGAAAGACGTACTGGAGATACTCTTTCAATCTGTACTCCGACATTAGGCAAACGTAGAAAAGAATCAAGTAAGTAAATAATTTTTTGAAAAAAAACGCACGACTCATTTGAGTAATAAGTCAGTCTTCCTAGAAAATCAAAGATAATTCAAGGAAGAAATTGTTCTTTATTATTGTGGTCATTTCTACAAGCCTAACAACCATATTTAATATTTAGTTAGTAACAAGAAACTTTGTGAAAAAAACCAACCAAGAACCCATTATTATTATTATTATTGTTATTTCCTTTAATTTCTAGAGGAACATAGGGCTTCAACTACACATCTCCATCGCCGTCGGCTCTCTGCTAAAGTTTTCACCTGGCTCCAAGTCTGCCCACATGCTTTCATTTCCTCTTCACATGACCTACTCCAAGTCAACCTCGCACTGACGACCAATTCACCGCTTCCCTTTCGGGTTCCACTCGGGCGATGGCTTGTCTAGTAATGTCACTTGATGGTTTACTCAGAGTATGGCCAATCCATTTCCATTTCTTCCTGCCTCTTTGTGGCACAATCGGTTCCTGGTTGGTTCGCTCCCAGAGATCCTTCCTGTTTCTGATGTTTTCTGGCCGGCCATCTTATCTCGAGTGAAGCACTGAGCGAAGACAGCTGTTGATGATAGTCTGTAGTTTGTTCAAAGTGCCCTTTGTGACGCGACACCAAGTCTCTGATCCGTATAGTAAGTGGCACTGACTTCACATTGGAGTTAATAATCCAGATCTTATTTTTCATACTGAGTACTGTTGACCTCCACACAGACTTGAGAGTAATGAAAGCTTGTCTTGCTTTTCCGATTCTTGCTTTGATATCCTAGTCAGTTCCGCCTGTAGTTGAAATGATGCTTCCCAGGTTGGTAGGTAGGTAAGAGAAGTTGCTTCTTTCACATTCCTCCCATCTATGCTGATTGTTGTCTGTTGTTGTTTTTACTGTTAGTGTTGGCCAGGAAACTTCATCACCTCTGTCTACTCTATGTTCACCTGAAGTCCTATCTTTGATGATTCTTCTGCTAACTTGTTGCTTTTGACTTGCATATCTTCCAATTTGTGAGAAATCAGACATATATCATCGGCGAAGTCCAGATCCTCCAAGTTTTTCGTGAGCAAGAACCCATTACTGAACAAATATTCCGTAAAAATCGAGATATATCAGACATGCTAACGGTGACACAGAGGAGATCGTGTGAGCAGGAGATGAAAGCCTATGGGCAATCTTGTGTCCAGCTGAAGACGACTTCAGAGGATAGAAGAAAGTGATGATGTTCTATTGAAGAAGCTCTGTGCTCCACTCGCAATTCAAGGGGATAATAATAATAATAATAAAAATCAATAAAACTGATAACTTTCTTCTTAGTATTTCATATTAAAAAAATTATTCACACAAGATAATCATTGTTTCTAAAATTTCTCTTTTCCCACTCCTTACAGATGACCGTAGTGATCGTCAAGGCAAACGTCTACGTTCAAATCAGCGACCTTCATCAGTGATTAATATGAATGGTAGTACACATGCAGGGAATCCAAACAACAACAACAATAACGGTATAACTTATGATAAAGATATCAACCTGCTACGTGAACACAATTGGTTATCACCGAATCATGAACATTTATTAAATGAAGAAAAGTGTTCCAGTGAACCATTGAATGGTGGTATAGATGATTACTTAGATTATTATGGACAAGAAAATGATTATGATACGTATGGTTATGGACAGAATACAATCCATTTTAATGGAGAATCGTATAATCTATTGTTGGTTCCAACAAATCTGCCTGGTGCAGTTGAAACACTCTCCAGTGTACGTTATGGTTTATTACGTACATGGATCTATTCATTGGCTAAACATCAACAACATCAACATCATCTTCAGCAACAACAACAGTTATACCATACAATGACAAAACAATCTCCCCTGACAAATGATACAGACGGTAGAAAGGAAAAGAAAGCTGATAATAACATGAATAGTCAAAATTTAATCAGTACTGGTAACACTATGAATACTACTACTAGCGGTATGCTGTTAGGTAAAACTTCTACAGATAAACATTCAGACAGTTCAGAAAATCGATACTATCCTCCTCCAGTCTCTGGACAATATCCAAGCTCATATAATCGTGCAGCAATTGGAAGTACTTTGAATCATTGGATTAAAACGGAATCACATTTGGCCGCATTAGTGTAAGTTAATCTTATTAATATTATTATTGTTGTTCCCTTAGGTTCCTAGTGGAACATAAGGCTTCAACTGCACGTCTCCGCTTGCCACTTCTGTCTTCCTTCTGTTGTACTTTTCACCTGCATCCATGTTAGTCCATAATGTTTCAACTCCTCTCTCTTCACACCATCTCCTCCATATCACCCTTGCACTAACGTCCCACTCGCCTCTTCCCTTTCGGGTTCCACTCGAGAGCCTGACGGGCGACGTCACCCAGCGGCCTCCTCAGCCAGTGTCCAATCCATCTCCATCCACTTTCTCCTGCATATTTGTTGGTTGGCGATTGGTTCTTGTTTTGTTTGTTTCTTCCCATAGTTTCTTGTTGGTGATTATTTCCGGCCCGACCATCTGATCTTCAGTATAGATCAAGCGAAGACAGTTGTTGATAAAGGTCTGCCACAGGCTGTTGGAAATATTCTTTGTGACTCACCCGCCAAGTTTCTGATCCGTATAGAAGAATTGGCTGACTTGACGTTTGTATTGAAAATCCGGCTGAATTTTGTTGTTGAAACTGGCTGAGTGACGAAGATTTCCAGATTGGTTGTTTCAGGTTGATTGATGAATGTGTTTCTCGCTCGCCTTCCCGATTCTCGCTCGATTTGACATCCTCCTTGTCCGTCCCGACTTCCTGTAGTTGAGACAATGCTCCCTAGATAAGTGAGTGAATGAAGTAACTAACCTCTTTCAAATCCCTCCCGTTGATGGTGACTGGCGCAGGATGTTGCTGTTGTTGGTTGGTTATTTTCATAACTCCGTTATGGGTTAATCTTATTAATTAATGTATATATGCTTCAGTGCTGGAATTCATCTGTAAAATATTTACTACTGACTATATGGAACGCTTCATGATTTTGCGTGTGATCATGTGCGTCTGTGGCACAGCGGTTAGGACTCTCACCGACCACACACATAGTCCGGGGCGGGGTGGAGGTTCTATCCCCTGCCGACACACACCTGATATCAATGGTCGGCCGTTAAAATTTGGACTTCCAATATCACATGCTGAAAATTCCATATGTGTATAAAAATACTGTGTGGAATCAAGCCATAAACAAAGAAATACATATGTGAAGTTTCTCCAAAAACCTAATTTGTATTCAAGCAAATTGTTGATAAATGGATAATTTCATTTGATCAATAGATGCGTGTTACAGACAGGGATTTTTAAAATATTATTAGTAGTCAGTGAACGTGATATGACAAAGGTACGTGTCTTGTTGGATGCCATAACTTGAAAGCTTTAGTCTACAATTATTTCAGGATTATATATTGTAAACTTTGATCGGAAACTAGTTAGTAATTAGTAGCATGTATCTAGTCTTTTTTTGGGTGCGGACAGAACTCTATCAGTCAAGTTCACAATGTGGCCATCATGGTGCACCCTGAATTATCGTTACTAGGTGATTGGAGACAACAGGAAGGAAGCCTTGCTTGACCTAGGTTTCGTACTTGTTAGCCCTCACCAGTCAACAAGGCATATCTGCAATCTTCAAGGAACTCATATGCCTTCTGAGATTCGAACTCGTGTTACCCAACGAGTGCTGAAGTCAGAGACGTTACTACTGAGCTATCCGGGCTTGCGATTGACCTCCTGTAGGACTTTATTGGATACTTTCGATTGGAAACTAGGTAGTGAGTAGTTTCATGCGTCTAGTCTTGAAAAAGCTAATACAATCTGTTTAATTGTGTTCAAAACCTTGAAATAGATCATATTTACTATCACTAATAGAGTTATATTGTAAAGTACTAGGCTACAATGTACTAGCCTTAACAAACATAGTATGTCTAAGTTACCTGACCAACTAGTGCTCTACCTAACTTGTAATTACTGACAGTAAAATGCAGACCAAAACCACTCAGTAAGATAATTTTTTTGCTATTTAACAACTGAAGACTTTGTCTTAAATGATAAGTTGTTTTATTGTTAAAAGGAATCCCACTGATGCAGTATTAGTGACAAAATGTTAGTTCGTAAAGTATTAACGTCATATCACTCTACAACATCGGCATTCCCAATGTAGCACCTTCACATTTAGACGCCTTCCAAGTAAGCATAGGTTTACAAATCTATTGTAACCAGTTGCCTCTTAATGACCACTTGGGTATTATACTAATTAATCTAAATAACCCAGATAATGACTAGGTATTGATTCAAATTAAATAGCCAAGAATTTTGTCCAGATATCATGTAACTTAGTGATACGTAAACGTCTCTTCAGTATTATGTTACACTAACTGAGTAACTATCTATTGCCATCGCAATTTTAATATTGTTCTCACCCGGAAAGTTGGAGACTTATCTCAGATGGTTTCATCAGCAAACTCTATTCTGACTTCATCTGCGTGTAAAGAAGCTATGATAGTGTACATATGAAGTGTGGTTTCGAAAGAGATCGGGCATAGAAGACTATTTTTGATATTTTTGGACTTGTGAACTTTGTCACCTTGCTTCTAGAGACTTCAACCGGCTATTCAGGTTAGCTCATATCCTGAGTGAGCATAGTTGTTGCAACACATGATAAAGTACACTGTGAGATTTGTAAGTAGTTTTGAAGTTCTTCATAAGGACGACAAATGCTTCCTTAAAATCAATAAATCGAATACATATATATATATATATACTGAGGAGAGAATAAAATAGAATTATTATAGTAATGATAATTTAAAGTTTGATCACAGAATGAAATCAATTAGAGAAGTGCTGAAAACCAAGGTGGAGTACTGGACAGCTATTTCGTCCTGGTTTGGGACTCTTCAGCGGTACGCACCCACCGGATTCAAACCCAGGACCTTCTGATTACAAGGCGAGCTCGTATACCATTAAGCCACTGGGACCCGATCCAATGGCCAGCCCATGAATTCTAACTTCTGCCAATTCACGACATAGCGCAACCGCTAGCCAATGTCTTCGGCGAGTATTTGTCCTCACACCCGACCGCTGCACCCTACTGGTCACGACTTCCCACTGGAACCCAGGTGACTACCTACCTGAATAGGGCCAGTCGCCAGTGAGCATCTCATTGGTATTCATTTTCATGTACATTATTATAGATTATTGTAAGCAAACAAGCAAATTGTATCCGCCTACGCCAAGTCTGCTTTGATTGGTTGCTGAGTCAGTCTTTGTTCTTATTTTTCTCACAACCAATATTGGGGACGTAAACATTGACGCAAATCACTGTCTACCAATTTTGGCTAGCAGCCGGCTCTCATCACAATTGTACTTGGGAATCTTCTACAGTACAAATCTAGGGCCTTCCTGTTGCAAGTCAAGCTCGTAGACCATTCAGCCAATAGTACCCAACTCAATGGCCAGCCCATGAATTGCAACTTCTACCAGTCAGTGTCATCGGCGAGTATTTGTTCTCACTTCCGACCTGGTGGCTCCTACTGGTCCCAACTTCTCCCTAGAACTCCAGTCAACTTCATCTTGTAGCCAATGACTAGCGACCATAGGATTGATTAAATTCAATTGTTGGTATTATATGGTTGGAGGCAATCGGCCACAGGAAGCCTTGCTTGACCTAGGTTTCGTGCTACTTGGCATTCATCAGCAAGGCGTATCTGCAAACCTCGAAGGGACTCTTGTCCCTTCTGAGATTCGAACTCACGTCACCCAGTGAGAGCTGCAGTCAGAGACGTTACCAATGAGCTATTCAGGCCCAGGATTGACCTCCTGTAGGACTGTACTGGATATATTAGATTGGACACTAGTCAGTAGCTAGTGTAATGTGTCTAGTCCTATCTTCGGTGTAGACTGAATTCTATCAGTCAAGCTTGCAATCCAAGTCTGATCACCAGCTGATACCAGCCTTGCAACCCGAAGGTGCTAGTTTCGAACCCTGGTGAGTTCGTATTGCCGAAGAGTCCTGAATACTAAGAAGAAACCGTTGTCCAGTACTCCTTGCTGTCTTCCAATGGCTCTCTTACAGATATCATTCCGTGATAAAAAAAATAACAGAACTTGAAACACATCAAATCCGACAAACTAACTCTTGAAAACTGATGATAATAATTACTAATAATTTCCATATTTTAACTAAGAATAAGACTGAGTAAAAATTCACCACATAAGACAACAAATTTTATCGGTCAACTTCAACAGAGTAACCTAATTAATGGAGTCAATACATGTGTGAAAGACAGACAATACATTAATGTTATGAGACGGTGTTATTATTGGTACTAGTTGTAGTTGTTGTTGTATGAGTATGGTTACGGTTATGATTGTCACCCTAATTATTAATGACAATAACAATACTAATGAGTAACCTGATGAATCATGCACTGTGATCTAAATCTAAAGTTTTAAACAGTTGTTGAATATAATTCAGGTAAATTAAATATCAGTGTGACCTCAAGTGAAAAAATACATATATATATATATATATATATATATATACCTGTACTCACATTACGGACAGTGTTTCAATGTTTATTATTTATATGTGCGCTTAGGCATACAGTCAGTGTGTATGTAATTTTACTCTCCGTCATTCCAGTATATTATAAGCGAAATTCAAACACCGTACACTACTTACTCATAAACAGATGTGTATGTATACAAATATTCCTCTACGTGTTTGTATGTGTGTGTGCGTATGTATACCGAGAGCACGCTGAAGAAGTGAACAAAACTTCAATGATTCACTGACTTAATCATCTTACAAAAGTATTCATTTACAGGTAGTTTTTTTTAATATGGGTGAGGATATAGGCTACCGCAAATCAAACTTGCCGCGCTTTTGTTTGAGTATACTTATATATATAAGGTAGAGTGGTGGCGGTTAATTAAAGACTTGAATTTCTTCAAGTAGTTGATTTTCTATTATGGGGTTGCGGAAATGCTGTAATCATATTAGATGTTATATTTGACTGTTATGAAGGTGTTTTATAAACTTTTTTAAGCAGCTAGAATATCTATTGTAACATTTGCTGCACTATGCGCGAAAACACCTCGCGGTAGCCATTATCCTCAGTCGAATTTGAACATAGCATGTGATGTAATTGATTTAAGCTCACGATATTAGTACTGTTGTCAAGGTATGATGCGCAGATTATGTATTATTATTATTCCCTGGGTTCTGTGTGGAATATAAGGCTTCAACAGCATATCTTCATTTCACCCTGTTCTCTGAAGACCTCCTTAGCTGGCTCCATGACTGTCTATAAGTCTTCATCTCCTCTTCACCCGACCATCGCTATGTCACCATTGGACCAACGACCAATTAGTCGATTCCCATTCGGTCCCACTCGAGGGGTTGCCTAGCGTGTGATGTTACTCAGCGGTCCTGCCAACGTGTATCCTATCTATTTCCATTTTCTTTGGAATATTTGTTGACCAATAGGTTCTTGATCGGTTCATTGGTTCGCATACTTTCTTGTTGCAGATTTTATGTGACTGACCGTCTGATCTTCAGTATGGAATTAGCGAAGGCAATTATTGATAAAAGTCTGCTGAAAGTTGTTGGAAATGCTTTTGCTGACTCATGTAAGAGAACTGATTGACCTGGCAGTGGTGTTGAAAATTCGAATTTTGTTGTTTATGCTGAGTGAAATTGCAGAAGATTTTCTAACTGATTTCAGAGTGATACAGATTTGTCTTGTCTTTCTGATTGTGTACTCAGATTTTATGATTACATCTGTCGAAATTGCCTATAAAGGTATATCATATCAATCATCAATATCTTATCCCCTACAAAGAGAAGGATCTTTATATGAATTGCAGAAGTGAACGAAAAGTAAACATATAACGTTTATTTGCCATTATGGTAAACACTTTGTCGCATAATCTTTAGTACGAAAAAATGGGGCTTTGATGTACTTATCAGCTTACTAACAGTTCACACTTGAATTAAACATCCTTGGCACTTTGAGGAAATCTTGAGGAAAAACAACTCAATAGGTAGGTATATCTAATAGAAGTCGATAGCATACAGATTCGATTACTTATAACCAACAGACTGTTTGAATCCGACGGTCAGTTTCCCAGACAACTGTTTGAATTAATTAATGACACTGCTTTTGGATCTGCCACCTAAAGCGGAAGGTCAGAAAGCCAAACTGGCTAGTCCTATTTGACATTTAAATCAGAGTTTTAGAATATTAAAGTGTACAGAAGTTTTGCATCACTTAGTTTGGGGATTACACTATATGTGAAACATAATCATTTTTATTCTTATCATTATTGATATTTTAGTCGTGAAAGAATTAATCTCTTGAGCGCATGTCAACAAACTTATCAATTCAGTGGTGATTCCACTGATTCTCAACCGAATTCTACCCTATCAACAGGTGCAATGGGATTTAATGGTACAGGGAATCTAGATGAACCAGTTGGTTTGTTGAATCAAGACTATTTTAATGCATCGTCTCATATGAATGCATCAGTAGGTAATGAATTGATCAATTCAAATTTATCGCGTAATTTCTGCAGTCAACAAACAAATATTATGCATAATATGGCTGCTTACATTTTATCCTCGACTAGTACTAGTACCACTTCAACTGCTACAACAACAACAACTTCTGCGGATAACATCAGCAATCGTGGATATATTTATAACACAGGTGGTGGTGGTAATATGGATACTAATTGGTCATATGAAATTGATCCTAGTATGAGGGCTGGCCAACTCTCGCATACAGACCAGTTATATGAAGCATCTCATCAAGGTTTGACTATAGATAATAATAACAGTAATAGTAATGCACTGCAGGTTACCTCAGATCTTATTGATCCTTATACATTGGTCCAACAATTACCCCAGTCATTGTCAACTTCATCACCGGTTCATCAACACCAACACCATCATCACCATCATCTTCATGCACACCATCCTCATCTAGCTCATGTTCCTCTTCCTCCTCCCCCTTCTCTCCAACATCATCAACATCACAATCCCCACAATCATCATATGCATCAAATACATCTTCAGCAAAACATGAACACTTCAAGTCCTATTTCTGGTGCAGCGGATGATAACCGTTCCTCAGCATTTACTACAACTGCTTTGATTTCAGATGATTCATTGAATACTAAATCATTGATATTTAATTCATGCATTCTTCCTCAGATTGCACAAACAACAACAACAACACCGACGACAACAGGGACATCAACAACATCAACGACTAGAGCAGGAACAACTGGGACAACAACAAATTTTGTGAATGATTTTAATACATCAAATTTTTATACTACAGCATATTTTAATCTTACTGCTTCTAATACTACTGATAATAATAATGGTGATACTATCACTACTACTACTAATAATAATAATAATGATAACAATAGTAATAATATTAACTGTACAAATGTTAGCGAATCGACTGATTTAACAGAACAGAATTCTACATTAATCGAGTCGTTATCACGATCCAGCATCCAGGTATATTAACACATCGAAATGTACCTCAGAATTCTACACTGTACAATTATCAGTTATCCAATCATACAAATCTGTCTGAATCTCTTTTATTATCAGAAGAATTATTGCATAATTGTCTAGATAATAAAAAGAAGTGTTACGATGAACAAGATGGTGTTCATTCTATATTGACTAAGCATTTAGTAAGTTATTGAGTTACTTTCATGTTAATTTCTTGTTCATTTCGTTTCATTCTTTTGTATTAGTGGATTTTAATGATTAGTAGTTCCACTGCTTTAGATTTTCCCTGATTAGACATATGACTGATCGACTGACTGGTCTCAGCGTAGAATTTGACACAGAAGGTAGCAGTTCAGGTTGCTGTATTCTAAGTCGCAGACAAAAGTGGTTAAAAGAAAGAGAAAAAGAAATTCTGAAGGACTATAATCAGGAGAAAACATGACGGTCTAGTGGATATAGGGGATAACAGAAATTGAATGCATCTGCAGTATCGGGTGCGATTTTGAGCTATATTACCACTGGTCTCAGGGCATTGGTTCTTAGGACCCGAGGATCCTAACCAGTCAGGAAGTCTACACCTCCCCGATATGGCTCAAACTAACTTTCAAAGATTCCATGGAGTGATCCTGGTTTTTGTTTGACTATCACCAGTTCTTTTCTAACCTCAACCTATGTCAGCTAACAGTGGCCGTCGAGGAAGGCAATGGCTAGGGATGCATAACACATATTGCAGATTTCTCAATGAATGTAGCTTCACAGCTTCATTCGCTGATTTTACCTCCTTACTTAACACTCAACGCCTAATCAAAGTGTTACTCACCCTGTTATACCACCTGGAACGGGAGATAGAACGCAGACACGTGTGATCGAAGGCAGCTAGACTTTTTCGTGTCTTCCACTCTCAATAGCCATGTCTGACAGTGAACTGGTAAGCAGGATACGCATTCTTTAGTCGACGGATGGCTGGATTTCACGTCTACACAAAAATACTATAAGGGAATACTAACAAATACATAATTCCAAGATATCAGATTTTCTGCTGGTCACTTACCTAGGCTAAGAACTTCAGAATTCTTACTGATTGATTGAGATGAGTAGTCTCATACCACTCATATCTACCAGTAGTGCTTACTGGTTAGCCAGATCTCTAAGGCCATCTAAACACCGGACGGCCATTTCGATCCCTTGGGATGATTCGAATTGTTTCGGCTGTCTGAGATGAGTCGAACTGGGTAAACTGCTGATGAACTCAACTCCAACCGAGAGAAACAGCCATTCGGTGTTTTGATCACCTGGATCTGTTTGGCCAGCAAGCACTACTGGTTTATTTATTTATTTTATTTTTGATTACAGCTTGATTCCACACTATATTTTTGGTACAAGTGTGGAATTTTCAGTGTGGATATCGGTAGCCCAAAATTCGCAGGCCGACCATAGATTGTGGCATATGACTACTCACTTCAAGCAGTCAGTGGTATGCTTACTTTTTTGACTGCCATTTGTGGCATCAAGCAGATGATACCAAGTTGCAAATTTTTGAATTTCCAATACCCTGAAATGGCTGACTGACTGATTTCAATGTGGAACTTTGCACAGATGTGCAGTGATTCGAGTTGTCACTCTCCCTTTAAGAGGAGAAAGTAAAGAGAGATTCGAAAGAGAGAGAGATAATAAACAGAAATATGAGACAAGAAGAGTAGTAATATGGAAGAATAATAGAATTTTATTGAATGTGATAAATCACAAAGACCGAATACAATCTGCGCCCCCATTAACAACGATGAGTGTGAGCCATATCACCAATTGTTTCCAGCCTTCATTGGTTTTCACCATCTCGAGGACCCCAACTAGTCGTCGCTCAAACTAACTGTTGTTGTGGATTTCATTGACTGATGAGGCCATGTTTCGGTTTGATTACCACTAGCTAACTCTTTTCCAACCTGATCGATCCCATGTAAGCTAACATTGCCCGTCGGTTGAGGAAGGCGATGGCTTGGCTAGGCTAGGCTAGGTATGCGTAACACATGTCCTGACCATCTCAATTGGTGTAACTTGACAACCTCATCGACCGATTCCCCCCCCCCCGCTTAACTAGCACTCAACTGAAGCCTAACCTCAATATTGCTCACTCTATTATACCACTTCACGCGGGAGATAGAAAGCATGCGCCTATTATCAAAGACAGCTAGCCTGGCGTTCTCATGTCTTCCATGGCCATTTTTCAGCCATAATGGAAGACGGAGCAAATTGGTGAACAGTACACACATCCTTTGGTCGATAGCCAGCTGGATATCACGTCTAAATCAGACATAGCGTGAGTTGACATTCACGAAACGAGCCTTCTGTATCCATGGTGGGATTTTGTCAAGGATCGACCCGCTGGCGTCGGCTGATGTAACTTCCGAAATAAGTGGAGCGGTCAACACGCTCAGCTACCGCTTCATTCCTAAGTGTCTTAAGCTAGCAGCGAATGTCATCTATACATGTAGCATCATCTAACATTTAGTGGGAGCGAATGGCATTCCAAACATTCGAAGATTACTGCTCGACGTGTTCAGAAGACTGTGAATTTTGTCAACGTGTTTATATGAGATATACATCCAGTAAGAGACCAATAAAGTTTGGGGATTGCGGTTTGCACCATCATGATAATTTAGGACCCTATTGAAGTACCAGATTTCACATGAGGAGTAAGTAACCTTGTAATTTACCTCTTAAGTTGAAATCATTTGGTGTTTATTCAAGATTGAAGTGTTTTAACAGCAAATACAGCCTTGATTAAATTACTGCTAACTCCGTTAGGCATAAATAATTGTTATTACACTTAAATTATCCTCTCAATTGAGAAGAAAATACTAATAAAATCACTTCCACTTTGCTTTGTTTTTCTTCTTCAGAGAAGTACATCATTCTGTTTATCGTCTTCTACACACTCTCCTGAATCCTGTGGGAATGAAAAATTCGTCAAGTTAGAAATATGAAGACACCTTTGTTTTATATATATACATACATTTCATTGATATTTATTCAATTTTATACCACACCATAGCCACAATACAATCTCTGAATCATTTCAATCAACTGTTACAACTTTATTAAACAATCTGATTGACAATAAATCACTGGATACATTCCTATTATGTTTAGTTTAAGTGAACCGCCTTGAAACAAATACATTCTTGCCTTGTTACCAATGGCAACGGCAACACCAGCAACAACAACAAAATATCACTATGCAAAGAAAGATATTCAAAATGATTTACTTTCTGGAAGCTTCAATCACACTATCATGACATTTTTTCTCAAAAATTTATCTATTTCAACATACCTACATACATACACATGCGTATATTTGCATTTGTAAGAACAAACAAACAGGCAAGCAGATACAAAGTTTCGTGATCACTTAATTACGCATTCATCTAATTACTCTTACTCATTATGGGGTGGGGTGAGATGGGTGGGGGCTTATTCTAAAGCAAAAACAAAAATCAAAACAAAATCATATTCGACTATATATTTCAGCTTTTCTTAATCTCATTTTATTTTCTTGGTATTGTTGTTGCTATTTTGGTTTCGCATTTATTATCATACGCCTCTAATCTTGTCCACACCAACATCTGTGTCGGCATGATTGCCTCCATGATATGATACCATGTCGCGTCATCACCATCATCATTTTCATGATCAAAAGACACCTAATTTTGTTGATCAGTAAAGTGCTAAATATAAGAACATTCTGTGGTGTATCCTATTTTTGAATTCCTGAATTATCACTATTATTATTATTATTATTATTGCTTTTGATATATACATATACACATAGGCATGAAATTCTATTATTTTCTTCTTTGCATTACTTTGTTTTGCTTTAGTTATTTTACTATTATACATATAAATATTTGTTTCCTTTATCTGGTTTTATCAACAACAAACAATACATACATCATTGTATATCTATCTTCATCGTGTGCCTTTTTTACTGTTCAAGGAATAGTAGGTTGCGTCGCTAGTGATTCATTGATAGAATTCCCGCCAACTATGATGTTTGTGGTCCTGGTTACATTTCAGCTGATATATTCGTCGATTTCTCTTAGCCTTGTTTGTAGTAAATCAAGTAAAGAGGGAGGGTTAGACGTGGGGCTGGAAACCCTTCCCCCGTACCCTACCGTATGAAAAATCATCACTGCTGCAAAAGAATGGGAGAAAAAGTTTAGAGAATAGGTAGTAAATACGGTATTTGTAATTTTTAAGTTCATAATACTGTTGAACAGGGAATCCGATATGGTTGGAAGTAGAAGTATGCAGATGTAACGGTAGGCGATAAAAAAAATTGGGAAAGGGCCTTTTATTCGAGAAAACCACATCATATTTACACATTTTCATAGCCACATTAAAGTTCAGCTGGGTTACCCGACCGTTAACTGCTAACTTGATGTGTTGGTCAGGCTTGCATATCGCAATGACCCAACAAGCTATACTGGCTGGAATTATTGTTCCTGAAGGTCCTGTCATGCCGGGAAGGTTGTTAAGATAGCCATTAGACTAAAAGCGGTTGCCGGCATAGTGTAAGAATTTTTATTTTACACTATGATAGGGGTCTGTGGGTAAAGTCGTACTACTGGGGAACAGTGATGTAACAGCAGTAAGGTGTTTTCCTCAGACGACCAGCATGCCAGCTATGCTATCTCTCCACTCTGGAGAGAAGGGGTTAGAAAAGGTCGACCCTAAAAATGTACATTCTGACTTACCGGCGGTAAATTTACTAATACGGAACCAATCCAAGAAACCAGTTCTTACAAGCCGTGTGTGACTGGCCTCAAACAGTTGCCCCTTGGATTCTGCATTGACGCAACACTAACCCTTTTTCTGTTTCAGGTATCCAGAGGATTAATCAACTTCCACGGTGTTGGTAGCTGGGAATTAACAACTGCCCATACACTTCCAAGGGCACACGAAGCCTTCTTGAGTATCATAATTCTCCGGGCTAGGTCAGAGTAGAATAAACTGTTCTAACTGATTATGTCATGTCCACAACATAAACAAAATCCGGATTTGAGGAACAAACACTTCTGCCTCTTTGGTGATTAACTTAAAATGTTAATTTTAATTTTCGTTGCCTCCTACAGATCTGCATCACGCTACACGAACATTTAAGAATGAAGAATAGAATTAGTGACTGATTTTTCCAAGTAAACAGATATCAACATTGAAAATCATCACTAAGGAGCATGTGAAATTGTGTATTTACATACTTTTTTAGAAAAATAATTTCTTCACTCATATCAACTGAGACTAGTGTCCCTCTACCCGATTCATTCGGTGAACACTTTAGACAAGAGGTTAATTAGCAAAAGTTGGCAGTAGACTAATGCTACTCAGTTACAAGATTTAACTAGCAGATTCTGGGACGAAATATTTTTTCCTTCGATTTATTTCTCGTTAACTGCTCAATACTTTTATACTGGTCCTGCAACTAATATTCATAGGCATAGTGCTCCTTCCCACCAACAAAATACAGTTAGATCTAAAACATATTAATAATAAAATAACATAAGATCACTCAAACAAATTGTTAGTCCACCGAAGCATGCCCATGGAGTTGTAAGTTTTATTTTAACTATTATACAAGTGATCGAAAATAAGCGCCATTTTCAGGATGACTTCGTATCGACTATACCGAACTCATTTAGACTGAAATTTTCTGTCAAGTTCAATGTTATTGGTGGAGTGAGATATCTGAAGGTCATTTTCGTCCATGTTAGTCGGCCATGTTGGATTGCAGTTTCGCAGCCGTGTAACGACAAAAGACAAGATTCAGGCAACGGATCATTTATTAAGGAAATGAACACGTATTTATATATTATATTTCATGTTCATTATCATAGCTTATTCAAGCAGCGAAACAAGGTTTTTTGATTGGTTGTTTCTTACAGAAAGTTGACTTTGCATCTGTTTGTAACTGTTTCTTGAATGTCAGATCATCTATACGCCAAGTCTGCTGTGATTGGTTGTTGAATCGGTCTTGTTCATATTTTCTCACCACCAATATTTGCGACATACCCTTTGAAGCGAAATGCTGTCTACCATTTTTGGCTAGCTTGCTCTCATCTCACTCGTCCCCCCGTCAAATAGCTTCCTGCTCAGGCGTTCCGAACTTCTGAGTGCTACATCCTCTAGTTGAGGATTGTTACTGACCGGCTTGTCCCACTGTAGCCATTGTTGGAGCTGACTGGCATTAACTCGTTTCTGTTTGCCACCTCTTCGGAAGGTACATACCTGATTGTGTATGGTCCTTCCCACTTTGGAACGAGTTTCCGTGAACCTGGCCCACATCCAACTGTATATCTTCTGTCTCTACACTTCACTTGGTCCCCAACTGCAAAGGTAATGCACTGAGTCTTTCCTTTCAGCTGAGACTTCGCGACATCACTCCGCTGCTTCTGCATTACATTCTTGACTGCTTCTTTCCGCTCTGCTTTTAATTTCGTCGTACTCCACTTTTGGTGAAGGGGCCAGGTCTCGTTGTGTATCGGTAATCGTGGTTTCATACCATACATCAGTTGAAAGGGTGACTTCTTCGTTGTTTCCTGAGTGGTAGCACGATGTGTTAGTAAAATCAGTGGAAGCTCCGTTTCCCAGTTACCGCCCTCCGAGGCCAGCCACTCCTTCAGTGTACGGTTGTTTCTCTCCGTTAGGCCATTCGTTTGTGGATGATATGGGGTCGTTCTGATCCGTTTGATGCCCAGCTGCTGCAAACGGGAAGTAAACTCTTCACTCTCGAAACAGGGACCTTGGTTTGTCAGTATTGTCTTTGGTACGCCGTGGTCTGCCACGATGTGTCTAACTACTGCATCTGTCGCGGTCCTTGCACGTTGGTCTGGGATTGCTACGGCGTCTACCCATCGTGTCGCGTGTTCCGTCATCAACAAGAGGTACTGATTACCATTGGATGTCTGAGGAAATGGACCCATGACATCTACGGACCACAAGTCACCTATCGCCGTAACTGGAATCGACTGAAGCGGTGGTCGTATGCACCGGTCGTCTTTCATTAGCTGGCGTCGTGGACATCCAAGTACGTATCTTGCTACGTCTTCTCTCTTACCTGGCCAGTACATACTTTGTCTTACGAGGTCGGTTGTTCTGGCCACGCCTGTATGTGCTAGCTGGTGACATTCTTCTATCATATCGTGGCGCGACGATTGAGGTATGATAGCCAGTCAGCTTCCGTCGTTCTCTCGCCAGGTCAGAGTCCCGTAAGCATTCACTCTTAGTAAATCTCTCTGTCTGAGTAGTGTGATTAGCTCCTTACTCGCTGTAGCCTGATCCACTTCTATTCCGTTGGTGATCACTTGTATTACTGTATTCAGCGTATCGTCCAACCTTAGCCTGCGTGCAAGTCTCAGTGGGTCTTGTTTTACTGCATGCACTCCATACGCGACCTCGGGCAACTCAGACTGGTCTTCTGGTCTCGATAACAAATCTGCCAAGACATTTTCACTTCTAAAAACGTGTGAGATCGTAAAATCGTACTCCTGAAGACACAACATCCACCGTGACAATTTCCCCCGTGGGTCTCTCGCTGTCTTCAAAAACTGTAGCGGCTTATGATCAGTTTCGATGTGGAACTGCCGGCTGAGTAAATAAGGTCTCCATTTGTCGACTCCCCATACCATTGCTAAACATTCTTTCTCTATCGTTGAATACTTTCTCTCTGTGAGTGTCAAAACCCGACTGGCATACTCAACGATTCCCTCACCCTGTCTTAGGACCACACCCATAGCGTAGTCACTGGCATCTGTGCACACTGTGAACTGTCTTCCAGGCACAGGTAGTTTTAGTGCCATTTGTTGAGGGTCGAGAAGCTGTTTAATCATGTCGAATGACCTCTGCAATCCTCCGACCAAACAAACTTCGACTCACCTATTGGCTTGTACAGAGGGGCTGCTATCTCATTGAAGTTCTTCACGAAGCGACT